TAACTAGCTATAGATTTAAAAAAAATTATAATCTAAAATCTAGTTATCTTTATAATAAATTAGACCTATAAAATAGATTATATTATTATATTACTAGATATAGTAGTAAAATTTAATAACTTTAGTATTTATACTAGACTATAGATTATATATATTTAATAAAATATTAACTAGAGATAGATAGACTATACTATATAAATAATATTTAATAAATATAGAATTATATAGTAAAAAATTATTATTATATTTATTCTTCTAGTAAAGAGCCCTATAATAAGAATATTTTAAATTTATATAATTAAGAACTAGAGAGTATAAAGTATATAATTTAGATTAATAATTCTTAAAATTTAGAGGAGTATTAGTAATAGAAGGTATAGGGAGAGTAGTTAAGAGAGAATACTTAATTAAAGAATAGCTATTTCTATAATTATATAGCTATAAAATATTAGAAATAAGTATAAAATAAAAAAGAAATATATATAGTAGTTAAAATATCTAACCTAAGAATACTTAATAGCTATATAATAAGATATAGCTAGAAAAAAATTATTTAGAGGCTTTAAAATCTTGTAGTTAGAGTAATATTTTTAGCCTAGAATAGTTATATACCTTTACTAGTATTATAGAGAGTACTTAATAGGACTATTTATAGTACCTATAGAGTGCCTTAAATATAACTATAATATAATAGTAGATCATAAAGCTAGATAATATAGGGAGCCTTGCATCTAACTAGGTTAACTAACATGTAATCTAGATCTATGGCGCGACAAAAAGGAAAAAATGGCCCTGCGGGCCATAGTTCTTCTGAACCGCCAGCGCGCGTAGAACTCAGCACGGTGTACGGGTCATACCACAGGTAAAAGTGAGACTTTCATATATTATTTAATATATTATTATCCTAAGTTTAGGTATATATAGGAATAAGCTTTTATAAGATTATTATCTTTAGATTACTAAGATTTAGTATAATATAGGTAATATAGTATCTATATAATAATAGACAAGCCAGCGGAGGTAATTAGAATAGTTAGAGTAGCTAGGGCCATAGCAGCAGCGGGAATAACAGGAGCTGGTGTAATAATGGCGGCTGGAGTAGCTGGAGTTATAGCAGCCAAAGAGGCAGAGGGGGAGACAGCCAGAGTTACCGCAGCTAAAGAGGTAGAGGGGGAGATGGCAGGAGTCACTATAATATTAGGAGTGGCCACAGCAGCGGAGGATGTGGGGGATACAGTCCTGCTAGATAATAAAGTAGTGATGGCGGGGACCACGAGAGATGTACCAGCAGCGGCAGGGGTCGCAGGCGCCATGGCTGGCATGGGTGTGAGGGGGTTCGGCGCGGGAGCCTATACATAAGTAGTTAGTACGACAGACCTGCGCCGCGAGAACGAAAACACCCACAGAGGAGGAAGCAGTAGCGGCGAGACGGGCTTTCTTTCGCAGGGACGCGGCCAGCGCGGCACCCTCTAACTCCACCATACCAGCCCCAGCACGCTGCACATTAAGCAGCTAAAAAATATTGTAATTAATAGAATATAACAACCTCTCTATCTAATCTTTAGTCTTAAGGCGTCGTATAAAGATCTTAGTGGCATGAGTCTCCCTAGCGCAGGCCACAACGCCAGCAGCCCCGCCAGACATGGCCTGGATCTCCCCGAGGCTGGCACGCACAGGCGGAACGACTGGGAAACACTTCTTGTGCAGGCGGGCACACCGAGTGCACCGCTGCCCCGGATTGGGACGCACACAAGAACGAACCTCCACCGGACCATTGTCCCTATGCCACCAGGACTTGGCCAGAATCGTGCCTGCTTGAATGAACACTGCTGCCCCTGGGTCACTGGAATCCTTTCGAAAGTTCGGTCTGGTTGGAAATAAGGTCATCCGGAATCCCACCACCGGAGACAGGAGCGAGCAAGGGTTTGAAAGGGTTGGCTTTTGAAGATAAAGCACCCCATCCTCCGACCGGCCAGAGTTTTCCTTGCTTCAACCAGTATAGTCCCGTTTTTTTTTTTTTTTTTTTTTTGCCCAGAGGTATGGAGATGGTGAGCCGGAAGGAGAGAGAGATATCGACAACGGGGGCGGCGGTTATGTACAGTCAGTGATCACCTGACGCCCGGTCCCACCTGACGCCTGATTTCCCCTCACCAACTATTTTTTTGATAATTTTTAATAACTTATATCTTAACTAATATAGGTTTAATTAAAGCCGCGATAGAAGTAATCAACTTATTAAAGATTGGTAATTTAATTAATTATACTAAGATTGCAAAAGAGTTTAGTATTAATCAGATAATATTATCAAGATACCACTATAGGGTATAGCACCTGTAAGAGCATGCGATTCGGGCAACATGTCTAAACCATTGGACCAAAAGGTCACTATGATCAGACCTGATGTCTGATCTGCCCGAATCCCACCTTATATACCCTAGTAATCATTGCCTTGGCACCAGTGCACCTAGTGCACGCCGTGACAACTATCTCCTTCCTTGAGATAAGGCTTGACCGCAAGCCGACTAGCATATATTCAGTAGGGACCCCCAGCCCTAAGCCAGCTAGGCTAAGCTAAGGGCTGTGAGCAGGTAGGCGTGGTTCAAATCTGGTAGCGCAACCAGGTCTAGCGGGACTCAACCCAGCCCTAGCACCCATTCAGGTCTAGCGGGACTCAACCCAGCCCTAGCACCTATTCAGGTCTAGCGGGACTCAACCCAGCCCTAGCACCTATTCAGCCTAGTGGGACTCAACCCAGCCCTAGCACCCATTTTAGGTCTAGCGGGACTACCCAACCCTAGGACTTAATTATCATTGTCGCACAATGACACCAGCCGGATTCGAACCACAGCCATCTACCCATCAGGTCTGATCATACTTGTAAGAGCATGCGATTCGGGCAACATGTCTAAACCATTGGACCAAAAGGTCACTATGATCAGACCTGATGTCTGATCTGCCCGAATCCCACCTTATATACCCTAGTAATCATTGCCTTGGCACCAGTGCACCTAGTGCACGCCGTGACAGCACCCTAAAGACTACTAATATAAGTAATAGCAAGTTCTTACTAACTAATATAAAAAAGAATTAATAAACTATATTAATAAGCTTATTAAGCAAGGCCTCTTTATATCTTATAAGATACTTTAAAATTTTATAAAAGAAATTACTAGTAAGAAGCTTAAAAAATACTAGCCTAAGTACTTTATAAAATATTACTAAGATAATCTTATCTTAACCTATATAATAGCTATTAATACCACGCGAAAATAAGCTAATTCTATATATAGATATACTCTATATTTTAAGTTATTAAGCTAGAAAATATAGTAATATAAGCTATAGCTAGAGAATATCTATAATATAGATAAGAAAGAATTTCTTATTAGAATACTAGTTAAAGGTCTCAAGATCTTTTTAAAGTAGAAATATATAGCTAGAAGAGGACTTAAGTAATACCTATAAAATAAAAATTATAAGTAGATAACTTTAATTACTTATATTTATATTAATAAAATTTTTCTCTTACTAGATCTTATTTACCAGGCTTTTACTAGTAATATATAAGATTCCTAGCTTTAAGACTTTAATCTTAAGCTTTATTCTTGCTTCTTTACCTCCTCTATAAGTAGTTGGACTAATAATAAGCTAGAATATACCTAGTTAACTAATATATTTAACCACAAGACTAAGAATAAGGCACGCAGGTAATAGAGGCTTCTTATTCTTAATAATTATAGATTTTACCTTACTATAAAGTTTATTAATTACTATAATATTAATAAAATCCTATTAATAATATATCTACCTTATTTAACTTATTTACTATAGCTACTTAATATTAGGATCTTTAGCCCTCTCTCTACTATTTATAGCAAGAATCTTGAGGACTTTTTATATAAATTAATAGATCTTAATTATATTATTAAATAAGATTTCTTTTACCTCTTCTAGCTAGCCTAGGAATAAACCTTATTAATAAAAAATATCCTTTTTTTATAGTAAATTATAGGGATATAGCTACTAAATCTAGAAATAATTCTAGTTTAATTTAATAAATAAAATAACTCTAGGCCCTCCTTAAGTAATTCCTTATATTCTATCTTACAGGCAGAGGACTGGTAGAAGATTAAGAAGCTTTTAAATTAAGTTATTACTAATATATATAATAAAAATACTAAGAAATTAAGCTTAATAATATATTATCTCTCTATAGAGAATATTATCCTAAAATTATATTATTAAGGCCTTAAATTAGCTCTCTAGAATAAGAAAAAAAAGTATTAATATAGGAAATCCTTATAGTTTAAGCTCACGGCTCCTAAAAATAGTAATATAGTTTTTTACTCTCTTTAAAAGGTTTAACAGGCTTGTAATCTTTAAATATAGAAGGATAAAGCTATATAACTTGCTAAAGTATTAAAAGAGTAAGAGAAGGTCTATTAATAACTTACTAAAGAAAAGAAATAATACTTACTTAAAGAGTAAAAAAGAAATTAAGTATCCTAGTAAGAATTATAGCTACTAGAGGCAGAGTAAAAGAAATAATAAAAGGAGGATGCTTGCCTAGTAAAAGAGGTAGATTACTAGCTTTAAAATAATTTCTAGCAGGTAAAGAAGTCTCTAAAGAAGGTCTCTAAAATTTTATACTAGTAAAAATCTATAGAAACCAGGCCAATAATACCTATAGAAGTCCTAGAGGCCCCTCTAATAGTAAATTATCAAGGCCGCGAGATCCAGCTCCCACAGTACTTTTAGACTAATTAAAAACTGTATATAAAGTCCTAATAATGACTATATTTATCCACTAAAAGATCACGCGATAATAATAATTATATATGGTTAAATTGCTTCATATTCAATATTGCTGGTGGTAGTGAAATCAGGCGTCAGGTGGGACCAGGCGTCAGGTGATCACCAACTGTACTGTATCGGAAAGAAAGGTTAAAAAACCCGGGTATGTATCGGCGATGGTCCTGTTGGACTATCAGCAAATCATACTCTTTTGTGAGCCTGTGGATAGAACTTACCTTTTACTCTAATGATATTCTTCTTTTCCCCCCGGGGAACAGAATCCATCTCATCAGCGATATCTTTGTCCAGTGATCCATTAATCACGACTGTTGTCGGGGCAGTGGGCAGTCATCTTTCCGGGTACTGGGATCACTGCAATTTCTCCTTTGTCGAGAAGGGATTCAATAATCTTGTGATGTCGTGAAAGTCCTGAAAGAGTTGGCTATGTTCCCTGATAAAGCAGAGAAAGTGGTCTTACCATTTTGAGGGAGGGTAGTGACAGCGACTTCGTCACCAAACATATGCCCTAATTCTGCCTGGACATGCTCTTAGGTACCAGATGGGCCGGCCGGCCGCCTTGACGAGTTTTTGGGGTAAAATCTCCCAGATCTCCCAGACTTCAGTCGAGTCAACAGCATCACTAATGACGTTAGAGGATGAAGCATCCTACATTACCGAAATCAAAGCCGGAGGGCCCTCGATAGCGTTGAATGGCCACTCCCGTTCGACCCTTGGTGTAGTAAACTCAGTCATGACTGCTGATGGTAAACAACCAGCCCAAGACTTCGACAGAAAGAAGGTCAAAGAAGATGTCAATACTTACTGTACTGCAACGTTAAAATGGCCATTGTCCGAGTCCGGCTTTGGTTTTCCGTAATGTAGGATGCTTCATCCTCTAACACCATTAGTGATGCTGTTGACTCGACTGAAGTCTGGGAGATCTGGGAGATTTTAGACGCTGTGCTGGTAGATCAGGTTCGGTGATGTTTTAGAGATTCTTGGCAGCTTGGTGGTATAAGTGATGTGATCCTCTTGGGAATCAGGAAGGGACAAATGTTATATGGTTGGATGGCAGATGGTGGATGGTGGATGGTGAATGGTAAATGGTGAATGGTGAATGGTAGATTGTAGATACTATTTAATATCTACCAGCATCTATAATCTACCATCTACCTCCACCATTCACAATCCATTATTCATAATCCTACAGACAAGTTAGGTATTAGGGCCTACCACGTAGTCTAGGTTTTCTAAATCTGGTGAAGACTTGGGGCAATGATCATTCTGCATATTTAGGAAACCTAAGTGAGGAGTGCTTTACTACAGACGCTATGCTTTGCTACATAGTGGATATTTAACTTGACTTGGCTTGTCACTTAATCAGGGTGAATAAGAGAGAAACAAAGAGGTGAAGTATCTTTTAGTTCCTTAATTATTACTACTACTGATATTCTTATATTGTTATTATTGTTGTTGTTGTTTCCCCTAGCACGCTAATATCAAGTTTTATTATCTGTATCATCATCACTTTAGGGTTGTTTCAGCATTCCCAGGAATTTACTTCTTAAGATTAGTGAAGTGCAGACTCCCAGATAGAAAATGTTGCAATGGTGATCTTGACCAATGGAGCCCTTCCCCTTGCGTTGCTGGTACATACCAGATGTACGCAAGAGAAGCTAATCCGCCTCAGATGGCATGTGGGTATATCAGGTTACCGACGGTATCCGGAGAGAGAGAGAGAGAGAGAGATAAGTGACCATTTGCAAGTTTCCGTGCAGGCTTCACAGAATCATACTCTCACTCTGTGATCTCATGGGTCGATCGTAAAGAAGAATAAATCCTGAGGAATGGGACGGATGAGCAAATGATAAGTGTCAGAGGGTAGGGCTCGGGAAACATCCTGAAGCTCGAAATTCCCCGGAGCTCGGGATCCCACATTGCCAACTTCCCAGGAGCCCCTTTTTCTCGCGTTTCTAATGGAAGGAGTTGTTCACTTGTGATGCTGCCAATGTCCCTGGGTAAAAAGCTGAGTCGTGGTGGAGGTGCAAGCACCCGGTTGATTAGGTGGCCCCTTCTTGTTACTTGTGGAATGTCGATGAGAGAGTTGCGCAAATGTCACGCTGGCAGAAGAAAGGGTGATATCAGGCCGGTCGACTGCTTTCTCCTACGACCGGCCTACCGAGGATCCTTTTCAGTTTCCCTCATATATACCGACAGGGCTTCTTGTTGTTGTTTTTTCCCCGGTCTTCTGCATACGTGGAGCGGTGGAATTGAATCGGTGATAACCCGCAAAATTCGCACGAAAGGGAAAGAAATCCACGGCCTTTTTTAATATCTTAAAGGGTTTCATACCTCCCTGGCTGTTCCTTCGCCATGGAGGCTATTCATCTGTCGAGCTCGTCTGAAATGGAGCCCGAGGTCGAAAAGAAGCGTGGATCTCCCTCCCTACGAAGTGTTACTCAAGAAGAAGTCGCAAGTCATGATGATATCCCCAGTACGACGTGCAAATCGAGATACCACCGGTGGGCTAGGAACGTCAAGGGCCTTGAGACTCGCGGTATTGAGCCCGTTCCGCTTGAAGAGCGTCTGAAAAACACCACCTCAACTTCATTCCATATGATGATCACCTGGTTTAGCATGGGAATGGCAATCAACACTATCGTCGTTGGGTCATTAGGAACGCTAGGGATGAAGTTGAGTTTTCTTGACGCGGCACTCTGTGCAGTGTTTGGAAACATTTTGGGAGCTATAGCTATTGGATATATGTGTCTTTGGGGGCCCAAGAGTGGCCATCGCACGCTTGTACGGTAAACCCATTTCCAATCATCTCCCTTCCTGCAGTTGCTCCTTGGATCCTCATATCACTTATCAGCATGCCTCTTCATTCAGATGGATTCACGACTTACATGCCTCCTCTATAGATCGTGAGCCGATACTTCATGGGATATCACCCAAACAAGATATGTTGCTTCCTTAACGTGCTGACAAACTTGGGTTACTGCATGATGAACGCAACCATTGGAGGTCAGCTTCTTTCTCAGCTTTCGGGAGGTGCTGTCTCCGTGGTTGTTGGGATTATCATCGTAGCCGTCGCAAGTCTAGTTGTAGCCACGTTTGGCATACACATCTTCCAATTTTACGAAAGGTACGCGAGATACGTCCACAGAAGGTCCACAACAAGGGTTCGGCCCTTTCTAATATCTAGATGCGAGCAGATATGCCTGGTTCCCGCAACTGGTGGTCTTTTGCATCCTGGTTGGATCTGCAGGTCCAGAAATGAATTTCGGCGGTACGTCCTTTGGCTCGCCCGAACAGATCAATGCCAAACGGCTAGCATTTTTCTCCCTCTGCTTTTCGACAGGTCTGTCGTGGGTACCAGGGGCTGCCGACTATCATGTCTATTATTCGCCAGAAACCGGGTCCTGGAAGATATGGTCCATGACGGTTATTGGGGTCGGTATAGGCATGATTATCCCTCTGCTCCTGGGGGTGGGACTTGGGACCGGTGTCTCTCACACTCCTAGATGGGCTACTATTTACGATGGTTCTCCTGGAAGCTTGTTGATAGCCGGATACGACCGGTTGGGAGGGTTCGGAAAGTTCTGTGCTTTCATAAATGTTTTATCAATTGTGTCCAACAATGCACCGGGCTCTTACTCGATGGCAATGAACTTTCAAATGCTTGGAGATATATGGCGCAACGTTTCCCGTCCCGTGTTCACGGTTGCCAGTACTATCATATACGCCGCCTGCGCTATCGGTGGGAGAAACTCTCTGTATGAGATTTTCAAGAACTTCCTCCCACTCATTGGGTACTGGATCGTTATTTGGCTCACAATCGTGGTGGAGCAGGATGTCCTATTCAACAGAGGCAGAGTATACGACTGGACTGCATGGAACAATCCACGCAAGCTGCCTATGGGGTTTGCTGCCACTGCAGCTTTTCTGATCGGATGGGTGGGAGCCATTGTTGGCATGGTACGCCTGCAACCCTTTTTTTCTATGATGGCAACACGCTAACATTTTTTTTTGTTTTCTAACAGGATCAAGTCTATTACACGGGTCCAATCGCAAGTACCGTTTCTGGAGGCTGTGATCTGGGTATCTGGCTTGGGCTAGGATTCGCAGCCTTTGCCTTTCCTCCTCTAAGATTGCTCGAGTTGCGCATTATCGGCGTTTAGAAATCAAGCACGAGCATGAGGCCGTAGCTACGTCCATCCACCCCGATCGATGTATTTCGCGTGTTTGATCCGAAACGCTCGCCAGATATCTTCTAGAGCTCAACTGATGAGATCAGACGTGTGGGTATGGATTGGGCTGTCGTTTGAGAACAAAATTCTGTATATATTCGTGTCCATCCATTCGGCGTGGTATTCATGTCGGAAATATGTAAACAATAGCTCATCCTGGTGCTTTTAGTGCCCATATCCAGGGACGGCCACAGCTAAAACAGGCATTGCCCTTCTCCAGAACTACCTTATTCAACCTATCAGGTTTATCCATCAGTACGGAGGAAATGACTGTAGAGGAATTGAAGGCCGCGCAAACTGGTTGGTGCTATTATTTTGTACTCTGTACAGAGTGTATATATATATATACACTGTGCTCTTTATTCTTGTCTCTGCTTTTGCTTTTTCAAGCACTATCTAGTTCCAGAGAAATACCCAAGTTTAATTACAGTGTTTAAATAATTCTATCAAGCAAAATTATCTTCTGGATGAAACAGTTTTGGTCGAAAAGCCACTATTGTTGTACTGTACTACTGTACTGTACAAGCTCTGGGAGCTCGCCCGAGCTTATGTAACTAGGTGACAAGACCTCTCTCCCCGCAAAATTTCCCGAATCCTGATACCTTCACTCTCGCATCGTCGCATCGATTGTCATTATTGCTTGATTTCCAGATACCCAGCTTTGTAATTGTCGATATGTCGTTACAGAACCCTACAGATGAGGCGACGAACTCGCCGCCGCCGACGAATAACTTCCCCATGGATCCTTCGGAGTTCGACAGCGATCCGCGGATCTCCTTCTCGAAGCTTGACGACAAGTTTATTTTAGAGACGGATGATGGGCATGAATACAGCTACGACTCAGTATTGAAGCGGTGGATTCCGACGGTGTGTGCGCGCGCTTTCTATCCAGCTGGATGACTCCCATTGCATCCCCCAGCTGTTGAAACCCTACCCTGTTGCTTCTGCTCCTATTTCTTTCTGTTTCCCCGTCTTTCTTCTTTTGTTCCGTTTGGCGATGGCTTGGTGGTGGCATACGATTGATGGGTCCGACCTTTTTTCCGTTGCAAATCAGCTGGAATGGCTAAGTCTGCATGGATTTTGGGTGGTTCGTGAAACTGATTGTATGGGTGGCGCGTCCTTTGCGCCTGTTGTTGTCCTCCAGGTCGATCAAGACTTGCTCCAGCAGCAGCAAGAAGCCTACAGAGTGCAAGGAGTGGATGAGAATGAGACGGTCAATTTCAAGAAAAAGCGCAAGCAGCAACCAGGTGCAGAAGAGGTCAGTATTCTTGTTGACGTTCCCCGTCATATATCCCGGATCTGTGAGTAATAGCCAGAGCTAATAGCCCGGGGGGGGGGGGGGGGGAGTTTATTAGGGCAATTCCCAAAAACCGAAAAAGCAGCGCGTCAACACCGCAGTCTACGTCACATCGATTCCTCTCGATGCTGAATTCGAAGAAATCCGAGACGTCTTTTCGAGATGTGGCGTCATCGCGGAAGAAATCGACAGCGGCCGTCCTCGTATCAAGATGTATACCAATGACGATGGCAAATTCAAGGGCGAAGTTTTGGTTGTATATTTCCGACCAGAATCGGTAAACCTCGCAATCCAAATGCTAGATGATTCAGACTTCCGGTTGGGTGTAACAGGTCCGCATGGACCAATGCGCGTTCAAATTGCGGATTTCTCGTTCAAAAGCCAGCAAGAAGCGCCAGCAAAGACCAGTGCCAGAGACAAAAAGAAGATCATCAAGAGAACTCAAAAGCTTAACAGGTACGGCTGGCTTTTTCTGCGTCCAAACACATTTTCCTTTTGCGGCGATTGCTCATAAATAGTTGGATAGCAAACTTGCGGATTGGGATGATGACGACCCAGCGGCAATTCCGGACACCAGCTCGAAATTCGAGAAGGTTGTTATACTCAAGCACATGTTTACGCTCAACGAGTTGGATGTATGTCCCCTTGAACGGTTTGTCTGGGAAAGGCTGTATTGTATATCGCTGACATGGCACAGGAGGACCCTGCCGCCATCCTCGATATCAAGGAAGATATTCGGGACGAGTGCTCCAAGCTTGGAGAGGTGACCAACGTTGTTCTCTACGACAAAGAGCCAGATGGCGTCGTCAGTGTCCGGTTTTCGGATGCAGAGGCGGCAAGAGGCTGTGTCAGGGTAAGATTGCCAGCGATAGAACCCTAGTCCACTGAGCTTATAATAATGACGTGTTTTTAGCTTATGGATGGGCGCTTCTTTGCCGGAACCCGTGTTGAAGCATACATCTCGGATGGCAGCGAGCGGTTTCGGAAGACCAATGAGAAACGGGCAGCCCTTGAGGATCTGGCAGAAAAGGGACTTGACGCCGAGGATGAGGAGGAAAACCAACGACTTGACGAGTTTGGTACATGGCTGGAAAGCTCACATGCGGTGGAGAAGCAAGAAAAATGAGCAGGGTTTAAATCCAAGAGGTGATGTGATTTCTTTCTTCTTAACATGCTGAGTCTCCTTGACGGACTTGTCATGGCGTTCGATAGCCAAAAATCATATCTGTGTATTCCATTTGCACTGCAGCAATAATGTTTACCTGATCAACCTAGCCTATACATTGGAACCAAGTTAGGTCCAGATATCCAAATAGCCCCCCCCCCCCCCCCCAAAAAAAAACCAACTCTCACTCTACATCCTCCGCAGAACGAAGCGGCAGAGAAATATAAAACTAGGACAATCTACTTCTCCTTGATACCCACGTTTATCTTCTTGTTTCTTTTCCGAGATACTCCCTACTCAGATCCGATCAACCAACCCTAGTAAGTATGCCTGGTAAAAAGCGCCACCTGCATGTGACGGAGAATTTAAACCACAGCCTCTTAATGGGGAAAACCCTTGTTTAGACATCAAGGCTGAATAGTGAAGTCGTTTAGTTAATTGTTCGGTGGCTGACTGTAGTAGTAGTACCTAGAGGGGATAAAGCTTAACCAATGTATGGATATATTTGAGGATTATGTCTTTGTTTCAGTTCTTCAGGAAACAATATCTTATATCGAAATAATCAAAGCTCTCTAAGGCTGTAATAGATATAGGTATCATAATATAATATAGATGAGAAACAACTAAAGGAGTACTTTTTGGTTCGTGAGAGGCTTAAATGTGGTTCGTTCCCGGAGACATCCCGTGACCGGACCTGGAGCTAAACCCAATCAGACGAGTTCCCCTTTTCTTTTTTCTTTAGCGGGTCAAAAATATTCGACACTTTTTCGAGTGGAATTATTGGTTAGTAGGGATTATTTTATACGTATTACTGCACTATTTTATATTACTGTATTGTTTGATATTACTGTATTTAAGTATTATGTACATACATAGTAGTCCTCAGGCCAGCCACACAACGGCCACGCCTTCACCGCTCCCAACTCTCTCTCCCTCTCAACTCAACCCAACAACCCAAACCCAACTTCCCTCCTATCTTCTTCTCTTCTCCTCTTTCTCTCTCTTCCTTCCTCCCCTCCACCCTCAAATTCCGGCTGTCCTCAGTCTTCTTTCTCTCATCAACTTTTGTCTAATCATTTTCCCCCTCCTCTTCACCCTCTCTATCCTCCTTCCACAATGCGTGAGATCGTATGTTGACACCTCTCTTCCGACGCGTCTCAAAGGGGGGTTTGCTGTTCCCCATTAGGGGTTGCCTCCCCCCTCCCCCCCCCCACCGGTTCTCCGTATAAACAATTCAATTTTGCTAACCATCTCTTTTCGTTTTTAATAGGTCCATCTTCAGACCGGCCAGTGTGTAAGTGACGGAGGGTTCTGGAATTGATTGTGTTGACGTGGGAAAACATACTAAACTGGGTGGTCGGGAATAGGGTAACCAAATTGGTGCTGCTTTCTGGTACGTCCCAATTTTCATCTTTATTTCCCCCCCTCATATTTTGTCAACATGCTAACAACCAAATAGGCAGACTATCTCTGGTGAACACGGCCTGGATGGCTCCGGTGTGTGAGTACAACCTGTGTGCAGCTTCGACAAAAAAAAATAATCATAAAGAGAACGTGAAGTCTGATGGATGGATAGTTACAATGGCTCCTCTGACCTCCAGTTGGAGCGTATGAACGTCTACTTCAACGAGGTGCGTGGTCATGATTCTAGTCTACTGTCAAGATGGCCACCTAATTAAATTATAGGCCAGCGGAAACAAGTACGTTCCTCGTGCCGTCCTCGTCGATCTTGAGCCCGGTACCATGGACGCCGTCCGTGCTGGCCCCTTCGGTCAGCTCTTCCGTCCCGACAACTTCGTTTTCGGTCAGTCCGGTGCCGGTAACAACTGGGCCAAGGGTCACTACACTGAGGGAGCTGAACTCGTCGACCAGGTCGTCGATGTTGTCCGTCGCGAGGCTGAGGCTTGCGACTGCCTCCAGGGTTTCCAGATCACCCACTCTCTCGGTGGTGGTACCGGTGCTGGTATGGGTACCCTCCTGATCTCCAAGATCCGTGAGGAGTTCCCCGACCGCATGATGGCTACCTTCTCCGTCGTTCCATCCCCCAAGGTTTCCGACACTGTCGTTGAGCCCTACAACGCCACCCTCTCCGTTCACCAGCTTGTTGAGCACTCCGACGAGACCTTCTGTATCGACAACGAGGTGCGTCGACCGACGATACACACCACATCCTCATCCAGATAACTAATATTCTATAGGCTCTGTACGATATTTGCATGCGTACCCTCAAGCTCTCCAACCCCTCTTACGGTGATCTGAACCATCTGGTCTCCGCCGTCATGTCCGGTGTCACCACCTGTCTTCGTTTCCCTGGTCAGCTCAACTCTGATCTCCGCAAGCTGGCTGTCAACATGGTTCCCTTCCCTCGTCTCCATTTCTTCATGGTCGGCTTCGCTCCTCTGACCAGCCGTGGCGCTCACTCCTTCCGCGCCGTTTCCGTTCCTGAGTTGACCCAGCAGATGTTCGACCCCAAGAACATGATGGCTGCTTCTGACTTCCGCAACGGCCGTTACCTTACTTGCTGTGCTATCTTGTATGTTTCTTTTTTATCTATATCTATATCTATATATACCTTGGAGTAACTCAGACCTGCCCGCTAACTCTGTTTCAGCCGTGGAAAGGTTTCCATGAAGGAGGTCGAGGACCAGATGCGCAACATCCAGAGCAAGAACCAGTCCTACTTCGTTGAGTGGATTCCCAACAACATCCAGACTGCTCTTTGCTCCATTCCTCCCCGTGGTCTTAAGATGTCTTCCACCTTCATTGGTAACTCCACCTCCATCCAGGAGCTCTTCAAGCGTGTCGGCGACCAGTTCACTGCTATGTTCCGTCGCAAGGCTTTCTTGCATTGGTACACTGGCGAGGGTATGGACGAGATGGAGTTCACTGAGGCTGAGAGCAACATGAACGATCTGGTCTCCGAGTACCAGCAGTACCAGGAAGCCTCCATCTCTGAGGGCGAGGAGGAGTAGTAAGTTTCCCCGATTTGATTCGGCTTCATTTTGGACTAACCAAATCCGCAGCCCCGAGGAGGAGATTATTGAGGGTGAAGAGTAAATTACTTAGTCGATAGCGACATGAATTGAGACCAGCTCATAGTAATACCCATGGCCAGTCCGTGTTCGTGAACTTTTACCTACTCGAAAGTTTCGTTCCGGATCAACGTCATTGAAATGTTTTGGTTTGAGCGCTCTTAATCTTTACTTCCTGTTTCTAATTTCTTTTGGGCCCCACCAAGGCCTTGAAACTATTGAAATCAATTCTAGCACATAGTCTAAAAGCAATTCAAGCGTCTAATTGCGATCTTTTCTTTTGCCTGCATCAAATCACCAACCTTCCTTTCCACTCTATGACTGGTCACACCGCCGTGCAGCATCTGTGTTAGGCAATCGCTCAATCGCTCAATCTCCGGGCTGCGTCCTGTACCTGCATGAAGAATGAAGACCACCGAAGCTTAATATGAGGTAATATTAGCTACGCCTTACCCCCCTTGCACTACGATTTCCTGTCAAATATTCCTTTGTTTGGAAAAAAAAAAAAAAAAGGGAGGGGGGAACAGGCCACTTGAACTTCAATCACACTTGGATCTTTTTGATGGGTGGAGTTCTTTTTACAAGCAAAGAGGGGGTGGGGTATTATTATGTATTCAAGTTGATAGTCTTATTCAGAAGTGAGTTAAGTAGTTAAGTAGTAACTATGTAGACCCCAAGACTTCTCAGACAGGTTTTTTTTCGAATTGAATTGAATTGATAATGTGTACAAGATAAAAAAAAAAGAAAAGGAAAGGGTATCGATCCGATGTAGTCCGTAAAGAATCAGAGAAGAAGGAAATCAAAAATGAAATGAGCAAGTATGTGGAGCAGATGAGGAAATGATGACCGTGATATCGATCATGGTTATGTAGGTGTGGTATGAATGATTAGAGTGAGATATAAGTGAAGTGAAGAAAAAAAAGAGGCCAAATGCAAAGAAGTGAAAATCCAATATGTACAACCCGATGGATAGATCATCACGGTGGACAGAGTCCACTTCTCCCCCCATCCCCGCCTCAGGGCAACAGTGATTATTGTAAGATGCATGATTCATCAATCAGATTTGAGTTGAGGGATGAAGAGGGCAAGGCAGGAATGAGGGGATTCGTCATTTATACCTTCGGTTCTACGGAGGTATCGTTGGTTGCGGTAGGGGTGGCGCTGCGCTTCGAGGCGGCATCGACCTGTTCGGAGCTGGGGCTGCTGATGACATCGCGGGTGACCTCGACGTAGTCATACTAAAAATATAGATATATATATTAGTCGGTTGGGCTGACAGTCAAACAACGGAAGGGGTACATACGGCAAACTCTCCAATCTCGGCATCATCAATACCAAGAATTTCATCCTCCTCAGTGGCACGGAGACTAAGGCCAGGGATCATGTTGATGATGAACAGGATAATGCAGCTACCGAAGAAGGAGTAAGCCATTCCGGAGACGGAGTCCGCGAGCTGGTAGCCGAGCTGGATGTAGTTGTGGTTAATCCAACCACCGGGGATCTCAGTGACACCATCAAGATGGGCAATGTAGTCACTAACGCATGGAATTAGAGAATGATATTGTCAAAGAGATTCAGAAGGGCAACTTACGCAGCAAAGAGACCGGTCAGGACGTTACCAACGAAGCCACCGATACCGTGCACAGCGAAGATATCAAGGGCATCGTCAACTTGGATGAGGTATTTCAGTTTGGTAGCATAGTTGCAGGCAGCAGCACCGACAACGCCAAAGATGAAGGCAGCCCAAGGGGTAACGAAACCGGAGCCGGGGGTAATAGCAACGAGACCACAAATGACACCGGAACAAAAGCCAACAGTAGACCATTTCCGCTCCAAGCGGTAGTCGAGAAGACACCAGGTAACACCACCAACAGAGGCGGCCAAGTTGGTCACGACAGCAGCCATGACAGCGCGCAGGTTCGCGCTAAGGGCCGAACCGGCATTGAAACCAAACCAGCCAACCCAGAGGAAGACGGTCCCGATGACAACGTGAGTGACGTTGTGGGGTCGGTAGTTGAGCTCGTGGGTTCCATGACCGCGACGCTTTCCAAGCATCAAGGAGTAGGCCAAGGCGGTGGTACCGGAAACGATGTGGACAGGAGTACCACCGGCAAAGTCCAAGCCTCCAAGCTTGAAGACCCAACCGGAAGAATTCCAGGTCCAACAAGCAACAGGGTCATAGATAATCGTACTCCAGATAAAGACGAAGACCATGCAGGGCAGCATACGACCCCGTTCCGCAACTGCACCGACGGCGAGAGCAACACTATTCATCATTAGACACCCCGAGTTACGTGGAGATATTTTAGAGGCAGATGAAACTCACGTAATTGCGGCGAACATTCCCTGGAAGACCGCAAACAAGAGATCGGGGACCTTGCTAGAACCCACGGAAGGAGCAGCCAGGACACCCTTGAATCCAAAGTTATCCAAATTTCCGATGTAAGAGCCAGCACCGTGAGAGAAGGCGAGAGAATAGCCCCAGAAGAACCACTGGAAGGAAACCACGCCGACAGACATAATCGAGAGCCAGATCAGGGAGAGGGCGGACTTTCGACGAGCCAGACCGGAATAAAAGAAGCTAGACGGAGTATTAGCTTCCTGTCAGCTTACGGGGGAACTGTAGTTGAGCGGGCTATTTCTTACCCAACACCAGGAATCATAAGCAGGACGAGCGCGGTGGAGGTGATAACCCATGCGATATCCCCAGACTGACGATTGAATTAGTTCCGAATGCCCCCCGATGGACCTGGCATGCGATCCGGAGAGACTCACGCTGTAGTAGATGTTAAGATCCTCGGTCAGAGAATCTCCACCGTTCGCGCCGGTGCCATTGTAGGCGACAGGATATTCAGCCATTACGGGAAGGAATTGTGACCGAGTACCGTCGCAAAAGGAGTGAACAGGAGGTATCACACTGGATCCTACTGGTATTGACCGGGCCCGTGGTGTTCTGCAACGGGGGGCAGGGGGGAGGAAGTGAGCAAGTAGATATATATGAATGCACACAATCGCGCAGAGCTTAACCCCCCAGGGATTATGATTATTGAGCAGGAAGGGAAAAGGGTTTGAGGCTACTAAAAAAAGAAAGGAGGAGGGAAAAAAAAATAAAGTGCATTAAGGGGAGGATTGGGGGGGGGGGGAAGGGGGGAATGGAGACGATAAATAACAATAATTAGGGTAATGTACTAAATAGTCTGGCAAGTGACAAGCGGACCCGGAACCAGTCATAAAATCGTGTGGAAACGAAAGCACAGCGTCCTCCCTGCAGATAGATAGATAGATAGATAGAAGGCACGGAGCAGGACATGATATCGGACCCAAGCGATCCACCATCGACCAAGACACTAGGCAGAGCTCCACCATCGTGCGGGATGCTGAAATATTATCCATACTAGGTTACTCCTTATGTGGACGAGCATTAGTCTCATCCTGAGCTTCATTCATTCATTATCCGGCATCGTTCATGTCCTCCTTTGCAAGCGGACCTCAGTAACCCGAGACCAGGTGATAAGAATTCGAGGCCATCGGAACAAAAAAAAAAAAAAAAAAAAAAACTTCCGGGCAACAATGGAATGGGTGGTGATTGGATAGGAAGCTACCTAGGTAGATAGGTACTGACTGCATTCAATTACAGGTATGGAATGATATGAGATTACGATTTCATTGACAGATCAGCGTAAATAATGGAAATGACGCTTTTTTTTTAATTCTGAATAATCAGGATAAGGCCTTAGGTACGGAGGCTAACTGTGAATGACCTGACAGGATCTTGTTATTGGTGGATCTGCGTGCATTGGGAGTGGTCAGAGATAACTACCTGGGACATCCAAGACTCATCTCTCGTGCCTGGGACTTAGGATTAATCTACAATCACAGGAACTCTGCTTGGAGAGAATACGAGATACAATCAGTCAAGAAGAGAGAGCTACGGAGTATGGAGTACGTACAAGGTATTAGCAATGATCATCAGTACGGTCAACCTAGGATCAAGATAGGTTAGGCCTTTAATTTATCTAGATAGTACCCGCACGACTCCATTCTGGATACCTCCATTATACATACCTCTACTATCTCCCTAGGTAGGTAGGAAGTACTCCCACAATCCTGAATTCCCCGAACCATGGTCAAAGAATATTCCCGATGTTATGTTGCTGCAATACAATATTTCCTTGGTACCGAATCGCAAAATCCCTTGTAACAGGGTTCTAACTACCTGGCCCGAAGTTTCAACCTGATTAAACCGAACCCAAGAAAGTGGATCGTTTTGCCGTGGCTTCTCCCCTGTTATCTATTCCGATTCCAACCAATCAACACGAGATCCCCCTTCTTATCATGTGTATCTCACACAAATTGTTATTGAAATATCAAGCTATATTGATTGATAAACGAGATCTTGGCTTCCAACGCCAAGATCTGTATTCATTGATTCTAATGCAAAGCCTGAAATTGCCCCGTGATGGTTCTATCTACTTCAAGAGTCAGTTGGTACCCCCACGTCACACGCAGGAACACCCAGGGCCCAGCTGTCGTCAACGTTGACCGATTCAGAGGGATCGGAGGCTGCCGTGCGCTAGTCAGTTATTGCAAACCCGGTGAACAGCATGAACGGCATTCTGATATTATTCAGCTGGATGGGGAACGTTAACCTAGACTCCAGAGTAGGGCTGTATGTATCCCCCCGCAAAGAAAGCCCCCATCTCGACCTAATCTTCAGCTCGTACCCAGTGTTAATATTAGTAACTCTATGATGATGTTATCCGACGGGCTCGTAATAGGTAAACCCATCATTCACCATACCAACTTCATCGCTTTGTACCTGGTAGGTACCTAAAGAGAGCTGAAGTTAAAAAAGGAGAGGCTAAAGATAAACATTATGGTTACCATTGGCCAGGGTCTTCGGCATCCCGAATCCCTCCCCTAGTGGGCTTGGCGATATCCGATGCGTCTGCCACGACCTGTATTTTCGACAATAATCCTCCAGAGCTGTGGTCATCGACTGTGTATTATTCGATTTGATTTCAATAGGTAACAGTAGAGAGGGTATCACATCAACAAATAAGCAAAGCTTACCGGAATCTGATGCAAGGATTCTCGGCACAGAGATCATCAACTTGGCATCAGACCATGCAAGGATCAAGCTTGTGATGTTGACACTTGACAGAACTTTCCCCGGAATTCCAAGATTCCCGAGGGTTCGCCTCACGATCCACAAAGACTCAGTCGCAGCAAGGTCCACTGATCAACATAACGAACACCTCTCCTTCATGATTCTACAGAGTTCTCTGAGCGATGAGAGGAGACCAATGATCCTCCCAATCCAAGAGTCATCAGAAGGTACCTACTCTTCGTTCGATCAGGATATACTACAACCTTATATACAGACATCTTCCTCCTGACCTACCCCCTAGTTTCCACCCCTGATGCAAATTGTCCTTTTGCCACCTCTCCTCTTAAATAGCTACTACAATCTAGCTGTTCCATGCGGATCTACCGCATCCGTGACTCCCATGGCCCCATCACATTTTATGATCTCCAAATAAGACCTCATAGTGCCAATAGTTCCTCCGGATTCTCCTCCTATTACTCAGCTCAGACTATGCCCGGGGCGTACATACCCCCACCCAAAAAAAGCATAGTGGATACAACAAGATTTCCCAAGGCGATGATGGATTATTGAATATCGTCTTCATTCCCCGCCAATCAAGGAGGCTGGCCGCTGAACCCCCCTCACCCTGACACTGAACAACAATTGCTTTTGATGTAACCAGCTCCATTGCTCAATTTTATATTATTCTTCATTTTCTGAGGAATATCAAGTTATCATTGCCAAGATCAAATTTATTAGTTTGAAGTTTTCAGTTGCGAAGGAAATGTTTAATGTTGACGCTGTAGTTAATCGTGGCTGAAGCAAGAATTGATTAGTCATTATCCTGCTGCACACAGACACGTTTTCAGGTCTAAAAAAAAAAAAAAAAAAAAAAAAAAAGAGGGAATGCAAATCGAAACGTCATGTCCAGCCCCTTGCTGTGGCATTCAAAATTTCCAAGTCAATTCGCACTGAAGTTCCTCATATTCCTCTTCAAAGCCGGGAGACCTCAATAGCGAGCCGCAACTCTGGACGTGTTTAGATCCCAAAGCTATGTAATCGGATAATGCACCGCCACATCCCCTACATATCTCTCCACCTAACAAGGCTGTCCTCCTCCGAACAAACACTACCTCTGCAAGATGGACCCTCAAACGGGCCACGACTACCAAATCATGGAGCATCCCGACATGAATACCCCAGATTCAGATAGCTCGGGCTCTTCCGACGAGCTGCTACAACAGCCATATGCTGTGCGCTCGGGTTCGAGTTTCCCGGAGAATTTCGACCCCCAGATTCAAACCCCAGCTTCCACGATCGCCTCCTCACCTCCTCCAAGCCACCCCTCCACAACCCTTAGCTCCTGGACAAGCGTCACACCGACGCGGCCCCGCGGCGCCAGCGTCGGTACCCCAGCAGCTATGAGCATGGAAAAAATGACCTCGCCCGTGGATGGCGGCATCCCGGTCTCTGATCGTGAGCTCCGGCAACAACGTCCGTCAGGCCCCGCCAGAACTCCTTCCAACACGTATGCCCCGCAACGGCGTCCTCCTCAGTTTATCAGCCTCCAGAATGACCGGCAGCGATCGTCGTCCACGAAACGTAATTCCAGGCGCGACCCTATTGCCCAGTACCGAGCGCAGGAGAAGGCCTATGTCCAGCGGATTCGAGCGGATCCGCAGGGTTGGTATAGTCAGCTCGATGACACTCAGGCCATGCCGGTTACGGATTTGGATCTTGAAGAACCGTCTCCGTCATCTGAGGTGCCATTTGAAGACGATGCTTACGACCCCGATATTCAACTGTTCGTGCCGGATGGCGATCAGCCAACGATTGACGAGCTCAAGAACCCGAAAAATCAGGAGAGGCTGGAGTGGCATTCTATGCTATCTTCTGTGCTCAAGGGAGATGTCGTGAAGCAAGAGAAGCAGCGATTGCTGGGATCTTCCGAGTCCAAGAGATCGACTGCTCAGAACAACGCGATCTGGCTGGGCGTGAGGGCGAAAACATGTGGGCGCAGTGTGGTTCTGCAACGGAAACTTATTGAGGAAGCGAGGTCCGGTCTTGCGCCTATCATCGAAGAGATAATCAAGTTTGAGATCAAAGGCGAAACCGAAATTGGGAAGCCACCTATCAAACAGGTCGAGGACGTTGTTGAGCAGATTGAAAAGTGTGAAGCGCTCTACTCTACACATAAAGAGCTGGAAACGGCGCATCCTCGTGTGGCGTCGGAGGAGTTTCGCTCGAGTCGCGATGCCATCTTCGCCTGGCACAATACGACGGTCCTCATCAACACTGAGCTCGCTATTCTGCAAAAGTGGGTCGGTAACGATGGGCTTGACTTCAGCAAACCTGGAATTAGGTCTACAAACAGCGAGCTTTCCGATGAAGCGTCTTTCTTGGACCGGATTATGAAGGAAGATGGCCTGAAGACGCTTCAAGGCGAACATAATATGCTATACGGCATTGGGAAAGTCATCCAGAAAGCAAAAAACACCTTGATCGAAAATGCCGACTCCTTTGCCAATCGACACTTGCCTCCATATATCGAAGAGCTTCTCATTCTGATCAATTTCCCCTCGCGTCTGATCCAGGAAATTATTCGCGTGCGGCTCTCCTACGCGAAGAACATGAAGGACCCGGCCCAGCAGTCCCCCATTTTGGTGGACCAGATGATCTCGCAATTTCAAATCTTAATGAGAGTTGCGGTTGTTATCAAACAACGTTACTTGGATATCGCTCGACCCGAACCAGGCTGGGACCTCCCTCCTTGCATCGACGAGAGCTTCGATTCTGTCGTGCTGGATGCGATGAAATATTACTTCCGTCTCTTGAACTGGAAGTTGAATGCGAACAAGAACACCTTCAAAGAGGCTGAAATTCTGGAACAAGAATGGGAGTTCTGTAACGAGATCGGTCAACAGCTTGAAAGTGGAGATATTGAAGTGGCTGAACAGTTCAGGTATGGCTTCTCCACCAAACGTAGTAATATTATTTCACCGTGGCTAATATCATATATATAGTGCATTGACTGCAAGGTCAATCCAACGACTGATGGTTCATTTCGAGCGAGAATTGGCCACGCGCTTCAACGAAGACCCCGCCGACATGGATAAACGGTATAAGAGTGTCTTGGACTCAACTCGCATTCGTCAGCGAAAGCTTTATCGTTTCTCCTTGTTCTTGCGCCAGCTGTTCGAAAACGCTACGGAGTATAATCTTCCAGCTGACATATCGTATGACTTCTTCGAAGCTTTGCTTGTTTCGGATCACTTCCTCATCAAATCCAATGCTTCCGTCGGCCAAAAAGGCGTTTATCTTTTCGCGCACCACGCACTCTGGGATCGTCCTGGTGATATATCAGCGATCCTCGGAACTTCTTTTCGCGAGGAGGAACCCGGCAAGGAGTCACCCCATGTGCCGTATATCTTGGCCATCCGTCCGGAAAAGCCTTTGTCTTGGGCAGGCAAAGAGTTACAGGCAGAAATACTGGAACAACCTACAGACCTGCGGCTAGGAAAGCTTCGCCTTGTTGTTGAAGGGACACAGCAACGGCTGTCCAAGGCCAGAATCGAGCTGGCTCAGTTAACAGGAATCCAGCTCGATATGGCCATTGAACAGCGTGCCAATCTTGGCCGAGTCAATGTGGAACTCAACAAAATTAAAAAGATATCATTCAAGCTGTCCATGGCTATCATGGACAGTGTCCAGACAATCCGAGATCAATGGGCAGAGAAGGGCCAGGAGAACCAGGAGCTTGTCCAGGCTTGTTACGCCTTTGCTACGGAATTCGGTAAACGTTCTTCCAACGTCGACCCCAACCGACGCGCAATGAACAGTGCTAGGCTTGCAGAGCTGTCGCTTGACTGGGTCTCTTTCGTCTGCGATGACTGTGATGCTGCGGACCGGAAAACCTTCAAGTGGGCCGTGGCTGCACTTGAATTCGCAATGGCACTTACCTCGAGCAGACACCTTCTGTCCATGGACGATGCGCATTTTACTCGTTTGAGACAGAAAGTTGCTGGGTGCATGTCACTCCTCATCTCCCACTTTGATATCATGGGCGCTCGATCTTCCCGTGCAGCCCAGGCTGAAAAGCAGCGCATCGAGGAACGTTCCGGCTCGAGGAAAATCGGTGCTGGTCGAATCTTGACTGATGAAGAAGCCACAAGACTTGTTCGCGAACAACGTCTAGCTCATTTGGCCAGCATTGAAGAGGACAGAGTCGAAGCAGATGCCAAACGTCAAGCATTAGGAAGGGTGTTAGAAGGATCGAATGAGGCTGATAGATCCCTTACCGTACTGTCCTCCTCTGCCACGAATGTTACTCTACGCTGGCAACAGGGCCAGTACATTGGAGGAGGAACATTTGGATCTGTCTACGCTGCGATCAACCTGGACAGCAACTACCTCATGGCAGTTAAGGAAATTCGCCTGCAAGATCCCCAGCTTATTCCCAAGATTGCTCAACAGATCCGCGACGAGATGGGTGTTTTGGAGGTGTTGGACCACCCCAACATTGTCTCGTACCATGGTATTGAAGTTCACCGGGATAAGGTCTACATTTTCATGGAGTATTGTTCTGGTGGGTCCCTTGCCAGCCTGCTCGAGCACGGTCGTGTGGAGGACGAAACTGTCATCATGGTGTACGCTTTACAACTCCTGGAGGGGTTGGCATATCTGCACCAGGCTGGAATCGTTCACCGCGATATCAAACCTGAGAATATCCTCCTCGATCACAATGGTATCATCAAGTACGTCGATTTCGGAGCTGCGAAGATCATTGCCCGTCAAGGCAAAACAGTCATGCCAATGGATTCGGTCTCCAACGCAGGCCACAAGGAAGCTCTGGTTCCCAAGGACGCCCAAATCGCACACCAGCGTGGCAAGAACCAGAAAACCATGACCGGAACCCCGATGTATATGTCCCCCGAAGTCATTCGTGGCGACTCGGCGAAGCTCATCCACCGCCAGGGCGCCGTTGACATCTGGTCCTTGGGTTGCGTCATTCTGGAAATGGCCACTGGCCGCCGCCCCTGGTCCAGCCTAGACAACGAATGGGCGATCATGTACAACATCGCCCAGGGCAACCAACCTGCATTACCATCCCAGGATCAGCTGAGTGACCTGGGCATTGACTTCCTCCGCCGCTGCTTCGAGTGCGATCCTCTCAAACGATCCACAGCTGCAGAGCTGCTTCAACACGAGTGGATCGTCTCGATCCGACAGCAGGTTGTTCTTGAACCACCAACTCCCACCAGTGACAACAGCAGTAGCATAAGCAGTTCTGCCTCCAGTCGTCACAACTCAACATACATGTAACTCTGTTCCTCCTCCTTTTTATTTTACCCCACCTTATATGTCTCCTTCCTCTGCACGCCTCCTCTACACTACAGCATACCCACGCGCTCCGCAAAACCCCTATGAGCCCGCCGCCCCCCCTTTCCTAATTCTCCTCTTCTCTCATGTCCACATCCACGCCCATGTCCACGTCTACGCCACCTTAGTACAACCTCCTCGTCCTCGATTTCATTCCGAAAGGTTTGCATTTGATACCCCCTCATCCGCCATCTCTATTTGCTTTTTGCTTTTCTTTTACCAGCTCCCGCTTTAGTACAGCTTACCTCACCATCCATTCCTCTGTTGTTGTGTCCCCATATTTTACTATACCTTTTTTCATCACTGTCGTTTCCCGCCTCTTATTCCAGATGATATCCCATACCTGATACCTCTACCTGAATTTGAGACGTGCAATAGCATACCAACCTCACTCATTCCCCACTCACGCACTATCTTATTGGACTTGGTAATCCATTGATCTGGTGATTTGGGGTGGGGGGGGGGGGGTTGGCCAGTTTATTTGTTAGTTGTTGATTCAAGTATACGAAATGGTCAATCAACTGGTGAGCGAGTTAACTAGGTACCAGCCATTGTTTGCATTACTCATCCGGGGTCTATTTATTTTTCTATAGATTTCAGGGGGATACCTATCTATTACCAAGTTGTAAATCACGACACATGCACGATGATACCTACCATGGACACTCACGTACTAGTACAACCTAGTAGGACTCATACATACATACATACATACATACATACATACATAGATATCTTTGCGTGCATGTATGCGTGATAAAAAAAGGCTCTGTATGCTATTACGTATTTCACAGATTCAATAAATCACTCGTAAAAAGTATCGACTCATCCCCGTGCATCGAATACCTCGAATCCCGCAGGGTATGGGTATAAAATTTTACAATCGCTACAGGAAGTCAGGTAGGGAGGGGCTAGCTAGGTAGGAGATGAGATGAGGTATGGTATGTTCTCTGTACCCAGTACAAACTCCCCAGGCCAAGTTAAAAGTTCGGGAACAAAGTCAAGGTTGTTGCGATATACTCAAAAAGTGTATACGCAAGAGAGAGAAAAAAAAAAAAGCGCATCATTTTCTGGCATGGCGTAGAGACATATCGGACCGTTAAGATGGTTAAGATAGTAGTAGTAAGGTAACATAGAAACCCATTGTTCCTGTATAGCCTGCAAGCCCGAGGGTTGTTTTCGGAGAGAAGATGAAGGAAGAAGGACGATGCCATGCATGTGTGTGGACTGAGAGACTTCAGATGGGAGGAAAAAAGAAGACGAAGAGAGAAACCGGAGAATGAAGAAAAGGGGGAATAATGCTAAGAATAGAAAAGAGAGAAGAGAGAGAGAGAGAGAGAGAGAGAGGCACGATTGAGAGGAAACGTTGGACCATGACAACAACCAAGTGAAACGCCAATGCGAGGGAAAATCATCGTAAAACATCCATAGGGTCAGACTAGTGAAGATAGAAGTATAGTGGGTTTTCCTGGTTGGGGGAACGGAGTGTACAGTTCGATTGGAGAGAACTGGTGAAATGAAGTATAAGGAGAGGTAGTAAGAGCGCGACGCGATGTGAGGTGGTAGTGAGGGTAGTTTTACGGATATACATCAGCGGAACTCAATTGCGGGAGTGCAGCCGTGGTTCTCGACATGTCTCAGCTCCAATTGTTGGTATCTGGGTCGAGTTTCCAATTAGTATTCCATGTACATAAAAGATAGGACGTAAGATTGCATTCAAGACATACTTCTCACTCTTTGCATGAAAATAGATACCGGTTACGGTACCTTCAACCTGGTTGAAACAAATGTAGTAGAAACCCTCGAAGCTTGCGCCAGAGATTGTCCGAACACGATGATCTGGAACAAGGAAATGTTCTTTCCACCGCATGAAGATGTGGTCTCGTTCAGCGAAATCCCAGTATGTAAAATCAGGTCTCTTCGCCTGTTTCGCCAACGGTCGCCAGGCGGGGAATCTGGCCCAGTGATGCATGTCGGTTTTCTCCGAAGCACCCCAGGATTCATTCCGGGTCTTAAATGTGTGCTTCGTTCCAATGATCTCGCCTTCGAAAAAGGTCGTCAAAGTAGGATGATCTTCAGTGAGGCCTATGTGCAAGTGGAGACATTAGATCAACTCTTAAGAGGGAACACACATTTGAACCTCCACGAACCTTGGATGCGTAGATAGCCGCAGAGATAGGATTCAGCCATGTCCACGTGCTTGATTTCCACGTCAACGTTGTAGACCTGACGGTCTGACTGTTGCGTTCCAGTGAATTTACTTCCGGGACGCAGAAAGGATGAAGTATAATTAGGAAGCAGCTGGTACGATTAGTTCGGTTCATATACGACAAGGGCTGTTTGTAATCACGTACACGTATATTAGAAAACTCATAGCTCAAAAGCGATGCTGTCGATGGCGAGGTGACGGGGGAGGAGGAGTTGGAAGAGCGAGATGGTCGCCTGCGAGGACTCAATCTCCCGACAGCAGGATCCTCGTCCGATGTCGCCATCGCCCTTGGAGAAGCACCGGTTTCCATCTCCAATCTCACCGCGTCCGGGTTCGAACGAGCGATCGCATCATCCGACCGGGTCAGCACGAACTGCGCTGATGTAACACTCGGGGAGAGAACATTGTCAAGGGGTGAATCACTCTCGCCGGGGGAGGATGATTCGGGAGAATCTCTCCAGGACAGCGGCAACCTCTCAATGGGCTCAGGAGGACAGGTCGTGCGAGCGGAAATATCTTGGGCGATCGAAGCAGCATTCAAGCGAGGCGTATTATTACTCGGGGTCGGCATTGAGGAAAATTAACTAAGGAATGACATCGGATCTGGCTGAGATGCAGGGGAAGGAGGAGGCGAACAAAGGCGGAGGAGGCCAGGCCAGGGTAAAGCATACAAGAAACAAGAACGGAAAGCAACAAGACAGCGGAACAAAGCTGGGGGGAAGTAAGGGGAGGCGTGGAGGAAGAAAAAGGAGGGGTTTCAGACGAAAAGCGAAGATGAAAAGGTTAGCCGCAGTAGTCGCCCAGTCGAAGGCAAACTGAAGGCTGGATGGGCTGGAATGAGAAGATGTGGTGGTTGTCGAGCGTCGAGAGTCGTGACTGATTCCTACTGGTTGGTGGTTGGTTATGGAGTCCAACTTTGATCATGCGAGCGCGGGGGAGGCGAAAGCTACCACAGTACTCTGTATATATTGACTGATTTATTTTATCTTGCGTGACGGACCAGGAGGGTGGATTGCGCCCATTTTATTATAGATGCCTTCACAGCTCTCATCATTAGAATTTGAACGAATTTGGAAGAAAAAAAGAACAGAAAAAAAAACGCCTATTGACCCATCCTAGACATGTCCTTCTATTCCACTCCACTACAACCTAATCTTCTGATTTAAATTGGCTTGATCTGAACGGATAAACAGGGTTAACCAGAGCACTAACAATCGTGGTCGGAGATATACATACCTTAAAGTGGAGGGATATCAGAGAAAAAATGAGAGCCTTCAGATCCTGCACAAGGTAGTAGAATACACGAAGACCTTCCGGATCGGCAGACTCGGTCACATCTACCAGGGAGCCGATTTTCGCAGTCTACCCAGGTGTTAAAACGGGGGAGGGGGGGGACCTTTGTGTCGAGATATCTAGAGATAAAAAAAAAACGCACCTCAAAGGAGATATGCTCATTTCCCAGTCGGATTTCCAGTTCCTGTCGTCCATCCTTGTTCTTCTGCGGCCATTTCGAGTCATCCTCTCTATTTTTACATTAGCCAAAGTATGCTTCCCTGTAGCCAAAAGGAGTCGGTCTATTGCATACTTCATGATCTCACTGTTCTTGATGATGCGCTTCACTTCCTGGATCATCGCCGAGCTCACACACACTGGATTATTTCCGATCAGTAACAGTCCAGCCGATGACAACCTCATGTGTATACTCACTCTCTTTGCGGATGAGAGAGTCATTGCGGTAGTTCGAATTGTTCGCATATCGGACTGCGGCACTGCGACCATCGCCAAGCGTACGGAAATCGAATTCTACCAACAATTAGCAACCAGAGTATGATGGAAAAAAGGCCAATAAAGGACCCCCCAAAAAAAGGAAGGGGATCAACCCAGACTCACCTAGAAACTCATGTCCAAACCGCCCAGAGTGACCCGAGCTGCGGCATCGTCAGCAGCGGAGGAAACCTGGGCAACAACAAAACAACAACAAGACAGGTCTGCCTTACTAGTAGCGGAGATAAAAGGTTTCGTTTTGGTTTGCCATCTTGACAGCTTCGTCAACCTGATCAATCAGCGATGTTGTCGTGCTAAACGAGTCGCGGCGTGAAAATGTACCCGATGCAATTGGAGTGGGCTTTTGGCGGTCTGGGGCTTAGTCATCCACACACTCCGGACAGCTTGCCCGCCCGCGCAAATGGCCAGGTTGATCTCCAGCATTGTTGAAAGTCCCCGGATTGCCTGCATTCGCACGGATGAATACTAGGTAGGCGAGGGGAGTCGAATTGTTTGATATTATCTGCTTCTGCTTACTTTGTGATTTTGGGGAGTGCTATTCTGGTTCGTTCTCACCCCTCCTCCCTTCTCCCTGGACCCTCCTCCTCCCTGAGGAACCCCCCAAAACAACACTTGGTACTGACTGGCATCTTGCAAGCTCTCCTCCCTCCTCCGCCCCTGTTACGGCCGTTCGCTCCCCGAAATCGTACACTATGGCGTCATTTCTGGATAATGCGTACAGTTTGGTCCACCTGGACAACACTGCAGATCAGCCTTCCATCCAGGAGCTGAAAGTGCAGTTGGAGAAAGGCACCGATGAGACCAAAATGGACACAATGCGCAGGATCATCACGATCATGCTCAATGGAGATCCTATGCCTCAACTATTGATGCACATTATCCGTTTTGTTATGCCGTCAAAGAGCAAGTCTCTCAAGAAATTGCTGTACTTCTATTATGAAATCTGTCCTAAGCTTGATTCCAATGGCAAGCTTAAGCAGGAGATGATTCTGGTGTGGTAAGGCGCCCACGTATCCCTTATTGCTGTCTATGTTTCTCTCTAATTGACTGTCTTTTCTACAGCAATGGCATTCGAAATGATCTTCAGCACGCCAACGAATACGTTCGAGGCAATACCCTTCGATTTCTATGCAAGCTCCGAGAACCTGAGCTCATCGAACCTCTCCTCTCATCTGCCCGCTCATGCTTGGATCACCGACACGCTTATGTGAGGAAGAGTGCAGTATGGGCTGTCGCGTCTATCTTCCAGCACTCCGAATCCCTCATTCCAGATGCGCCAGAACTCATACAAGCTTTCCTCGACACGGAGACCGATGGCACATGCAAACGCAATGCATTTGCGGCGCTCATGTCTATTAGCCACCAGAAGGCTCTAGAGTATCTAGCGTCTACATTTGACAGCGTTCCCAATACAGATGAGTTGCTTCAGCTCGTGGAGTTGGAGTTCATTAGGAAGGATGCAGTGCAAAACGCCCAGAACAAGGTGAGTTGTTTGTTTGGAAGTTCTTTTTTTTTTTTTTTGAAATACAGCCGATTGACGAACGTAGGCGCGATACTTGCGTTTGATCTTTGATCTCTTGGATGCGTCAACAAGTACTGTGATTTACGAAGCCGCCACATCCCTCACTGCACTTACCAGCAATCCCGTTGCCGTGAAAGCCGCCGCTGGGAAATTGATCGAGCTGAGTATCAGGGAGGCCGATAACAATGTTAAGCTCATCGTTCTCGACAGAGTCGACCAGCTCCGAATCCGTAACGAGGGTGTTTTGGACGACCTTACGATGGAGATCTTACGCGTCCTCTCTAGCCCTGACATCGATGTTCGCCGGAAGGCCCTCAGCATCGCCCTGGAGATGGTTTCAAGTAAGAACGTAGAGGAGATTGTTATGCTGTTGAAGAAAGAGCTTGCCAAAACCGTCGATGAGCAGTATGAGAAGGTAAGCTCACTATTCCCATGTCAAAGCCCCCTCACTAACACCGTATATAGAACAGCGAGTACCGTCAACTCCTAATCCAATCGATTCACAACTGCGCTATCAAATTCTCGGAAATCGCCGCTAGCGTTGTTGACCTTCTGATGGACTTTATTGGCGACTTTAACAACAATTCTGCAGTTGATGTGATCTCTTTTGTCAAGGAAGTCGTCGAGAAATTCCCCAAGCTGCGGGCCGCTATTGTGGATCGCCTTGTTTCGACTTTGAGCGAAGTCCGGGCAGGAAAGGTGTACCGTGGTGTTTTGTGGGTTGTTGGTGAATATTCGTTGGAGGAGAAGGACATCCGGGAGGCGTGGAAGAAGATTCGGGCCAGTCTTGGGGAGATCCCTATTCTCGCTTCGGAGCAGCGACTCCTCGACGAAGTGCCAGAAGATAGTGTGCTCAAGGAACAAGTCAACGGCCATGCCAAGTCCGCAGCTCCTACAGGGTCCAGAAAGGTTTTGGCTGATGGCACATACGCAACTGAAAGTGCTCTCACCAGCCAGTCTGCGGCTGCTGCCCGTCTTCAAGCCGTTAAGGCGGCTCAGAAGCCTCCTCTTCGCCAGTTGATTCTCGACGGCGATTACTACCTGGCAACTGTTCTGTCATCCACATTGACCAAGCTGGTAATGCGTCATTCGGAAGTCTCTCAGGATGTCGCTCGAACCAACGCCCTGCGTGCGGAAGCCATGCTGATCATGATCTCCATTATCCGTGTTGGTCAATCTCCGTTTGTTACAGCGCCCATTGACGAAGATTCCGTGGATCGTGTCATGACATGTGTCCGCTCTCTTGCTGAATTTTCTCAGAGGAAAGAGCTGGAGACCACCTTCCTTGAGGACACACGGAAGGCATTCCGTGCTATGGTTCAAGTCGAGGACAAGAAGCGCGCCGCCAAGGAAGCTGTCGAAAAGGCCAAGAGTGCAGTCCAGATCGACGATGCAATTCCCATCCGCCAGTTCACCAAGAAGAGCGCTGTGGAAGGTGCCGAGGAGATTGAGTTGGATCTGGTAAAGGCTACAGGAGCCGATTCCACCATCGAGACCGTGTCTTCGAAGCTGAGCCGTGTCGTACAACTTACCGGGTTCTCGGATCCGGTCTACGCCGAGGCCTATGTCACAGTTCACCAGTTCGATATCGTTTTGGATGTGCTCTTAGTAAACCAGACCCTGGAAACTCTACAAAACCTGTCTGTTGAGTTCGCAACCCTCGGAGATCTGAAAGTTGTGGAGCGCCCAACAACGCACAACCTTGGTCCTCGGGACTTCTTGAATGTGCAGGCTACAGTCAAGGTATCTTCGACAGACACAGGTGTCATTTTCGGTAACATTGTGTACGATGGTGCTAGCTCGACTGAATCCCATGTGGTGATACTCAATGACATCCACGCCGACATTATGGATTACATTCAGCCCGCTCACTGTACCGAGACCCAGTTCCGGACGATGTGGACCGAATTCGAATGGGAGAACAAGGTCAACATTAACTCCAAGGCAAAGAGTCTCCGTGAATTCCTCAAGCAACTCATGGAAAGCACCAACATGGCGTGCCTGACCCCCGACGCATCGCTCACTGGGGATTGCCGATTCCTCAGTGCTAATCTATATGCTCGCAGTGTATTTGGTATGTATTCTTTGTCCTCCATTCCCGTGTCATCTTGCCAGCCTGGCGGCCAGCCCGAACCTAAAGAAATTTGTCACTAACTCTTGGGTCCCTTAGGCGAGGACGCTCTGGCGAATCTGAGTATTGAAAAGGAAGGAGAAGATGGACCGATCACCGGCTTCGTGCGGATAAGAAGCCGTTCCCAAGGCCTAGCTTTGAGCCTGGGATCGCTGAAGGGCCTCAAAGCCTCCACTGCTGCATGAATAGAATACTAAGCTTCGTTTGACCGGGCATTTGAATAGTGATTATTCCCCTTATTATTTATTACATTATCGTATTAACATACTTGCCTGTTCCTCTCTTCTTGTGCGACGAACCCCCCCCTTTGATGGATGAATCTGTTTGACCATATGCTTCTTTTACTGTGTTTTACCGGATGAGAAAAGAGATTCCTTTCAATGAAATTACCTTGCATTTCCTGTGCTTCTCCAGGGATGGACAGACGATGGTGGCGCTGCTAGTGGAGCAGGTTTTCTGTCGAATTTAGACTATCCCCAACTAGGGAGAATAGTGGCCACCTGACAAGTGCTAAGGAGTTGAGTATTCTCTTGTTTCTACTCCGTAGTCCGTACAGGGTGAATTTAAAGAGATAGAGGGCTCATAATCCGTCAAGAGTGAGTTGTTGATTCGCCTATATTTCGCCCCCTATTGTTGGCCACGTGACCAACAGTCCTTAGTTAATCCGCTCCGGTGAGGATTCCCCGAGTGCATCCCGTCAGCACAGTCTACTGGCCTGTGGAATTGGATAGAGATGAGATTTATGTTTGACCATTGAGCTAACCCTACTGGATAAACCCATAAATCCGACATTTCCTTTCCTCCTCTGTGATCCGTCGGAGTATATGGGATCCCCCTAAATTTTCTGACTGGATTCTTCTCACTTCTACATGAGTAAATGCATGCGGATGTTGTCGGATGTCGGGGGACAGAGACCAAAAACGGCTAAATTGGCCTCTATTAGATGGAGAATAGATAATAATAATAGATAATAACCATGTCAGGTAAAAGCTCGTGGTTCCTGGGAAGGGAAACCAGATCCAACATCTCAATAATTATATCATCTTGACTTCTTCCATCCTCGTTGCTTCTGTTGCTTCTTCTTCCTCCTCTTCTTCTTCTTCCCACTTCCTCCAGCCACACAATTCTTGCCTCTTCCCTACTACCATCTTCCTTCCCTATATCCTCTCTCTCGTGATATTCCTAGCTCTGTCTTATTGCTTACATCTATTCAATTTCACTGCTCTTGCGGCCTCTCCCTATGTGCTTTGCCTTCTGCGGAACAAAATGTCCTCCCCTAACAGCAATCTCCAAGATCCCACCACCACCCACCACCTCTCTCCATCAGACTCTAAGTGCCACTTACTAGACCATGACTTGACTTTGATGGTGGGGCAATCGGTCTCCCTCACACTGGGAAATGACTCTCTTTTGATCGTCGGTATGTTCCATGTGTCTATGATCAGCACTCGAGCGTGGCACGGTTCAGTCTAGACTAACCCGTCCCCTTGTCTGCTGCAGATGAAGGCGCCATGCGCAAACCTGATCGTACATGTTGCGGACTGTTCCCTAAGCCAAGTATTTATTCTCTTCCCCTCTCGGTCCCCGCTCCCCCTGTTTTGTTTCTTGTTTTCAAAATTAACCCCCGCCTGTGCCCTGCTTTTAGCAAACAAGGTTACCCATTCCATCTCGTTGTACAATGTCCTGGACGCCGACCTTTCCGCCACCAGTTTGACCATCACATATGCGGAGCACTCGGGTAAAGATGACGTCGCTGTGAATGCGCTGCAATATCCGATCGCTGAAGACGAGACAATAACTGCGAAGACGTGGACGGCCAATTTGATCAATCTTGCATACAGAAATGCGCTGCGCCATAAGCGACTCAAGATCTTGATCAACCCATTTGGTGGAAAGGGAACAGCGGCCTACTTGTATCGGACATATGCGGAGCCGGTTTTTGCAGCCGCCCATTGCCAGTTGGATGTGCAGGAGACAACTCATTCTGGCCATGCCACCGAAATCGCCGAGCAGATAGACATTGATGCATATGATGCTATTGTATGCTGCTCTGGTGACGGCCTCCCATATGAAGTCTTCAATGGCCTTGCAAAGAAACCCAACGCCGGGACAGCGTTGGCAAAGATGGCTGTTGCGATGTTACCTTGCGGCTCTGGAAACGCAATGGCGTGGAACCTCCTTGGAACCGGCAGTATTTCTATCGCAGCTCTGACCATTGTCAAGGCTTTGCGCATGTCTTTCGATCTAGCGTCAGTCACGCAGGCAGGAACGCGCACACTGTCGTTCTTATCGCAGTCTTTTGGTATCGTCGCAGAATCGGACCTGGGGACCGACCATGTCCGCTGGATGGGGGCTCATCGCTTTACATACGGCTTTCTCGTCCGTCTCATGAGCCGAACAATATATCCCTGTGACCTCGCCGTAAAAGTGGTCATTGACGATAAAAACGCCATTAAGGAACATTATAATGCCTACGCAAGCGGCGCTGCCGTGACCTCCTCTACTGAGAATGCCACTGAGCAATCCGAGGGGCTTCCTACGCTTGAATACGGGACAGTCCAAGATGATTTGCCCAAGGACTGGGAAGTCATCCCAGCAGAGACGATAGGCAATTTCTACGCTGGAAATATGGCCATAATGTCCAAGGATATGCCATTCTTCCCAGCCTCAGTCCCGAACGATGGATTGATGGATGTCGTCATGATCGATGGGACCATCAGCCGTGCCACCAGCCTCAAGATGATGACGGCAATCCCTGAAGGTGGGTTTTTCGACATGCCAGACGTGAATATCCACAAAGCAAAGGCGTACCGACTCATTCCCCGAGAAAAACAGGGATACATCAGTGTTGACGGCGAGAAGATTCCCTTTGAAGCCTTCCAGGTTGAGATCCATCAAGGCCTAGGCACCGTTCTGGCAAAGTCCGAACGCCTGTATGAAACACCAGGACCCAGGCCGTAATCTGTTTTCCGTCATAGATGAGGGGCCGAGATGACCTAGTTTATTCCCTGATTTCTTTGTGCTTTTGTTCTATACATTATTCTTGCTATTCGTGGTCTTCCCGCGCCGTGATGATACCCTAATGGAAGACTTTTCTGAGTGAAATAAGTACAGCATGCTTTGTTATATATTTTTATTCTTGAGGTATGAGTTCATTCACTTAGACTTGATTGTTTTGGTTTGTTTTCAGGTCGTATCTATATGATTATTAGGTAGAAGTATATACATATAAAAAAAAAAAAATATATATATATATATATCATATTTATATCCTCTCCTAAAGCTGTTCTCTATGAGCATAGAGAGGTAATATTAAATAAATAGATAGACATTGATATTCAGTGATTGTTCATGTACAGCTCAGTATAACTAGTTATATATATACCTATATGTAAGCCTCAATCTTTATCTATGTAGGAAAGTACAAAAAAAAGAATTTTTTTTTTCTCAAAGAATAAGATATAATAATGATTCACATCACATTACCTCCTACTCATCTCCAAACCCACCCCATTCCTCCTCACTTTCCTCCTCGTCATCACTCTCGACCTTGTTCTTCCTCTCCCTCCACCCCCACTCAATCAACCGTTCATCCTCCAACGTTTCAGCCGCCCTCATGCGCACAGGCTTATACGGACTCTCCTTCCTCAACTTCTCAATCGGACGCAGCAAAAGCTCAACGGGGACATCACCCTTGGGTTTGCGACTCCGCTCCTCTTCCTCACTCTCATCAAACTCCAGAACCTTCTCGAGCTCGTCAACCCAGATATCCAGAACATGGTACCGCAATCCATCCGGGCCATGGGGCATGGGCACGTAATCGTTCTTCTCATCAGCCGGGGGTTGAGATGGATCAAAGTTCACAGGGCAGAGAGGGCCTTCTTCAAGAATTGTAATGTACGATTCTAGGGCGGACCATTTACCACCGTGATTGCCACCCGGGGTAGTTTGCATTGTTTCATTTTCTTGTTCATCTTGTTGTTCCTGCTGCTCTTCTTCTGCCGGTTCGTTCTTGGCTGAAGAGCTATTCCGTTTCTTTGACTTTGCGCGTTTCTTTGCGGCGGCTGTCTCTTCTCTCTTCCGTTTTCTGATCCCCGCGGCGGTGGCAGAGTTGCCGCTGTTGTTGTTGGCGGAGTTCTTGAGAAAGACCTCGAAAGCAACACCGATATAGCAACGGATCAAGTGGAGGTACTTATCGAGTCGGAGGCGGTCGAGAGAGTGGAAGTCCCGGCCAATGGTGATCCAGAATGCGCGCAGGAAGCGGTGGACTGTGGATCGGGGGAGGGTTGGGACGAGCGAGTAGGATAAGTCGCGGGCTAGAGCTTGTTGGGTGAGGGGACGATCGGAGTGGTAGAAGCCTGGTTGGATTTTCATATTAGTTTCTTCTTCTTCTTCTTCTTCTTCTTCTTCTTCTTCTTCTTCTTCTTCTTTTTTTTTTAGTCCCCTTCCTCCGATCTTGCTCTAGGATGGGGCCGTACAGAAGAAAAGGCCCTTCCAGAGTTTTAGCAGCTCGAGCAGCGACAGGTCGGTTCTGGATCGCAAGAACAGTGTGAGGGAGTTAGTGGCTTTGTCGCGGATTTTTTTGTCTACGGTATAGTTAGCATGGGCTGGTGTATAATTGATACCCAGAGTGGAAATGGCATACCGCTGGAAGCGAGCTCCCTTACAAAGGGAGTCTTTTCGATATCGACCATGGCGTCGTCGGATATCTGGGGTATGGTTGGCAAGTCGTTGGCACTGGTAATGAGGACTGCGCGAAGGGGAAGGATAGAATTGCCCTGGGGTCAAGTTGAATAAACCTTTGCGGTATTAAAAAATACAAACAAGGCGTCTCGAAGCCCCGATCTTGAAGATAGAAGAATGATTGGAGGGAATGTCGCTGAGATTGATCCCATCGCGACTATCATGTAACTTTTTTTTTTTCTGTGTTTGCACTGTTTGTTTGGACGGGGCGGTGAGAGTGGAGCATTGTAATTGGTTTTTGTTTACAGTAGTAAATTTGATCACTGAGATGTACTGAAGTCTGAGGTACCTACTCCGTACTCCGTACTCTCTACCTAGGTACTTAGCCGATCCCGACTCAATCTCACCCAATCTCATTCTTGACTGCAAGTTGAGGGTAGAAAAAGTTTACAAACTTGGCATTTGTAATGTTGTTTTTATTCTAGTATACGGGGCGTAGTAACTTTAAGCTACCTCCTGTACGGAGGAAGAAGCAACCCTGGGCCACTTGCGTAGTCCCACTCTACCGCATCCGGTGACATCTACACCAACCGTGGACTCATTCATCAGTTGAGACGAGGAAAGCTATTCCACATTTTTCAGATCTTTTCGCCGGATTACTTTTGGTTACACCACGGTTTGGAACGATTTCCCCCATGACATCACGACTCCCGCTTTGGGCGAGTCGCAGCTCCGAGATCCCTCAAGCTCAGCGTATCAACAACCACGGTTCCTGCCAGAATCCCAGCTGGAGCTGAGTCCGGTACTTCTCTTACGGCGCTAGATCTATTTGTCCCCAATGCTCTTCTGTTACATAGATCTTGATATCACATGATGCCGGGGAAAAGCAACGGGAGAAGACCGTGGTGGAACATGTTGTTCCTGGAGTTTACCGTCCCCTACCTAGGCCCTAGAGATTTTCACTCAGGCTCGTGATATGTGTTTTTCTTCTTTACCGTCTCTCGTTCCATCCTTTCTTCCTCTCAAATTCACACATTGTCCCCCCCCCCCCGGTTAAATGGCTCTAGACAGAGAATCTAGCGAGAGCTCGCAGCCGAGCTCGGCTCACCAAGATGAGATACATGAGGAGAAATCCCTTCTGCGGCGAGAATCGAATGTTGGATACTATGATAACCCAGTATTTGAGGAGATCAACTCCGAGAGGAAGACCGAACTGGCTCGCATCGCATCCAACTTCCACAGGCGTAGCACCGCGGAGTCGGGGGTGAGCAGGAAAACCCTCGAAAGGAAAGATACAATCGATGAGATGAGCCTTGACGACCCGGTCTTTGATCCTACTAGTGATCAGTTTGACCACTACAAATGGGCTCGGATGATGATTAAACTGAGAGACAGGGAGGGTATGCCTCGACCTCCATCCACTGGCATTACATTTCAAAATCTCAATATCTCCGGCTCGGGATCGGCCCTTCAATACCAGAATAATGTGGCATCGCTCTTTATGGCCCCCTTTCGGCTCAACGAGTACTTCAGCTTCACGGGAAGCTCCCCCGAGAAGCACATTTTGCGAGATTTCAACGGTCTTATCCGGAGTGGCGAACTGCTGATTGTCCTAGGACGACCGGGAAGTGGTTGCTCAACCTTTCTGAAGTCTCTCTGTGGCCAATTGCAGGGACTGAAAATTTCGAAAGAGTCACACGTCCAGTACAATGGTATCTCTATGGAGACCATGCTCAAACAGTACAAGGGAGAGTTTCTTTACAATCAAGAGGTGGACAAACACTTCCCTCACCTGACAGTGGGCCAAACTCTAGAGTTTGCAGCCGCAGCAAGGACTCCTGAGCACCGATTGCAAGGCATTGACCGACAAAAATTTGCCAAATACATCACTCAGGTCGCGATGTCCATTTTTGGTCTTTCTCATACTTACAATACCAAAGGTAACACGGATTTCTGTGATAACTTTGCCCTCCGGCTGCTAACAATCCCTGTAGTTGGCGATGACTACATCAGAGGAGTGTCCGGTGGTGAGAGAAAACGGGTTAGGTTAGTCTTCTTGATGATTTCAATACTTATGCCCAGCTAACTTTTGTTCTCAGTATTGCAGAGATGGCCGGTAAGTCTAAGCCCATGAATTCGACAATCTACTGTGCATTTTTGAGACTCTATTAGTTACGGGGTCACCGTTCGGTGCATGGGACAATAGCACCAGAGGACTTGACTCTGCAAGCGCTCTGGAATTTGCCAAAGCATTGCGAGTTTCCGCCAATATCGCCGGCACCTGTCATGCCGTGGCAATTTACCAGGCTTCGCAGGCAATATACGACATCTTCGACAAAGTAATTGTTTTATACGAAGGCCGGGAGATCTACTTCGGACCATGCAGCAAGGCAAAAGAGTACTTTACCAACATGGGTTGGTATTGTCCACCACGCCAGACGACTGGTGACTTCTTGACTTCGGTCACCAACCCTCAAGAACGTCAAGTGCGAGAAGGAATGGAAAACCAGGTCCCGCGGACTCCCGATGAGTTTGAGATTTATTGGAAGAAAAGCCCCGAGTTAGCTCAGCTTGAAAGGGAAATTGCCCATCATGTGGAGGAGTTCCCCCCTGGAGGAGAGTCGGAGCAAGTGTTTAATCAGGTTAAACGGCACCGACAGGCCAAGCACGTTCGACCAAAGAGTCCATATGTCATTTCCATTTCAATGCAGGTAAAGCTTTGCACCATCAGAGCATATCAGAGGTAAGTCTTTCTTAATATGGATTCTGGTAAATTGACTAATGACTTGCAGGATTTGGAACGATAAACCGTCTACTTTGACAACAGTTATTGGTCGAATTGCGATGTCTCTTATTATTGGTTCTATATACTACGGGTAATACCTTTCAGCTCGTCCTATAGCTATGTTCTAATCTGCATAGGACCCCAAACGCCTCTGCCGGCTTTCAAAGTAAAGGAGCTGCTCTCTTCTTCGCTGTTTTGTAAGTGCACAATATGCGGCAGGCCATAATATACCTACGGAAAAGAGGCTTGGTGCTAACCCCATACCTAGGATGAATGCCCTCATTAGTATTACGGAGATCAACTCGCTTTACGACCAACGTCCCATTGTAGAGAAACAAGCTTCCTATGCTTTTGTACATCCTTTCGCGGAAGCATTTGGGGGAATCGTGTCCGATATTCCGGTCAAATTCGTAGCCGCAGTGGTATTTAACATAATCTTTTACTTCCTGGCTGGATTGGTATGCCCTCCATATCCTTACATCATATCATGTCCATGCTAATGAACACCAGCGTTATGAGCCCTCCCAGTTCTTTATCTTCTTCCTATTCACCTTTCTTAGCACGCTTGCGATGTCGGGAATTTTCCGGACTCTTGCCGCCTCGACCAAGACCCTTTCCCAAGCAATGTCTATGGCTGGTGTGATAGTGTTGGCTATTGTCATATATACAGGGTTCGTGATTCCAGCACCTCAAATGGCTCATATTCCCTGGTTTAGCTGGATTCGGTGGATTAACCCGATCTACTACACCTTTGAGGCTCTAATTGCCAACGAATTCCACGGTCGACGCTTTGAATGCTCGCAGTTTGTACCTGCTTATCCTAGCCTGAGTGGAGACTCTTTCATATGCTCTGTGCGTGGTAGTGTTGCCGGTGAACGAACTGTATCTGGAGACGATTACATTTACTCCCAGTACCGGTATACGTACGCCCATGAATGGCGAAACCTCGGCATTCTGATTGGATTTTGGATTTTCTTCACCGCGCTGTACTTGATTGCAACTGAAATCAACTCCGAGACTTCTTCGAAGGCTGAGTTCCTTGTGTTCCGCCGTGGTCATGTTCCAGCTCACATGCGCAACCCTGACAGGAAACAGGGAGATGGCCCCAACGCAAACGTTGTTCTTGCGGAGAGGTCCGCAGAAATAGCGCCAGACACCTCTGTAATTCCTGAACAGCACAGTGTTTTCACCTGGAGAAATGTATGCTATGATATTCCAGTTAAGGGAGGTCAACGGCGTCTTCTTGACAATGTTGCCGGATGGGTTAAGCCAGGTACACTTACAGCGTTGATGGGTGTCTCTGGTGCTGGAAAGACTACTCTTCTTGACGTCCTTGCGAAACGTGTTTCTATCGGGGTTGTGACGGGCGATATGTTCGTTGATGGAAAACCGCTTGACAGTAGCTTTCAACGGAAAACAGGCTATGTACAACAACAAGACCTACATCTTCCAACAAATACTGTAAGGGAGGCCCTGCGCTTTAGTGCTCTTCTACGACAACCAAAGTCTGTCTCCAAGGCAGAGAAATACAAGTATGTCGAGGAAGTCATCGAAATGCTTAATATGCAGGATTTCGCCGACGCAATTGTTGGAACTCCAGGGGAAGGATTGAATGTCGAGCAAAGAAAGCTATTGACAATTGGTGTTGAACTTGCTGCAAAGCCTGCTCTGTTGATCTTTCTTGATGAGCCTACCAGTGGTTTGGACTCTCAGAGTTCCTGGTCAATTTGCTCCTTCTTGCGCAAACTTGCAGATCGTGGTCAAGCGGTGCTTTCTACGATCCATCAACCCAGTGCCATGCTCTTCCAGCAATTCGACCGCTTGTTGTTCCTGGCAAAAGGAGGAAGAACTGTCTATTTTGGGAATATTGGAGAGGAATCGCGTACCCTGCTCAATTACTTTGAGGCAAACGGAGCACGGCCGTGTGCTGCATCAGAAAATGTCAGTATCATCTTTGTCATGTCGACCTTGTACGTACTAATATTAAACAGCCCGCCGAGTACATCCTCGAGATCATTGGAGCTGGGGCCTCTGGCAAATCAGACAAGGATTGGCCAGTCATCTGGAGCGAAAGTCCTGAATTCAGAGAAGTTCAGAAGGAGATTGACCGAGTTCATCAGGAAAGGTCCGCAGCTCCAGTGGAGGAGAACCACTCTGCACACCAACAATACGCGATGCCATTTGGTACTCAAGTGTGGTATGTCACCCACCGAGTGTTTCAGCAGTATTGGCGTGAGCCGGTCTACATCTGGGCCAAGTTGGTTCTAGCTGTTGCTTCCGGCCTCTTTATTGGGTTCACTTTCTTCAAGCCGAACAGCTCGCAGCAAGGATTCCAAGATGTCATCTTCAGTGCCTTCATGCTATGTTCCATTTTCTCAACCCTAGTCCAACAGTGAGCTTCTTTCTTCCCTACTTCCCTTCCTACCAGATCAGTACTGAACAAACTACCAGGATCATGCCTAAATTCGTTGTCCAACGATCCCTCTATGAAGTTCGTGAAAGGCCCTCAAAGGCCTACTCCTGGGCCGCCTTCATTATCGCCAACGTTCTTGTCGAACTCCCCTGGCAGATTCTCGCTGGAGTCCTCTCCTGGGCCTGCTACTACTTCGCCATCTATGGCGCAAACCAAGCCGCCAACCGCCAGGGTCTAATGCTCCTCTTCGTGGTCCAGTTCTTCCTCTTCACATCGACCTTTGCGACATTCATTATATCTGCCCTCCCAGACGCCGAAACAGGAGGTACCATCGCTACGCTTCTCTTCATCATGACCCTGACCTTTAACGGAGTCATGCAGCCACCATCCGCCCTCCCAGGCTTCTGGATCTTCATGTACCGTGTTTCCCCACTAACCTATCTTATCGCGGGCCTCACTGCGACAGGCTTACACGGCCGAGCCATCCAATGCTCTACCGATGAATTGAGTGTATTCAACCCACCATCAGGACTCAACTGTGGCCAATACCTGGCTCAGTATCTCCAACTCGCGCCAGGACGACTTTATAACCCATCTGCGACACAGGGATGCGAATACTGTTCTCTGCAAAACGCAGATCAATACCTTGCTGCTTCTAATATCTGTTCGTTTACCCCTCCTTCACTTATTGGCCTAGCCCGAGTCCCATGATCATAGCTAATTAAGACTCCGAACAGACTATAGCGAACGCTGGCGGAACTTCGGAATCGGGTGGGCCTATATCGGATTCAATATCATAGGCACCGTCGCACTGTACTACATCTTCCGCATTCGACACTGGAACCCTACGTCATTGATCCGGGGCATTAGAGACCCAGGGAGGCTTGTCTGTCGGGTGTTCAAGAGGCGTTCTGGACAAACCCCAAAGGGTAAGGAGGCTGATAACGGGAGACTTTACTAATGTTATGTTTGATTGATGTCGATATGTTAAGAGGTGGGATATTATTTTTCTTTCTTTCTTTCTTTCTTTCTTTTTTTTTTTTTTTTTTTGCCTGGCTTGATAAATTTAGTTATTTATGCTTGGTAGAAGTACCCTTCTTACATAATTAGTCTTGTAACTATCCAGCTTGACTGAATAAGATTTGACTGGATATTTCGCGTATTGTTGGTTCCCAGGCTCAATTAAACCACGAGGGAAAATCCTGTTAGATACTGCATGCAGGTAAAGCTGATATAGCTTTGGAAAATACCATGGTTTTAAAGTGTTTGAAAGAACCTTGTAGATTTGATTTGATTTGATTCAAAATTACAGTTATTCGAGTCTGGACAGATCAGGTTCGAGATGGTGCGGTGCGGTGTGGTGTGGAACAGACAACAATCAGGATAGATCAAGGTTACATGGACACCATAACACCAGGGATATCACCAGAAGGATACATGGGTAAAAAGTAAGGTAAGCTGAGGGCAAAGGGGGGCAATAAAATTTTAATGGAAGGAGAGAGAAAGGAGAGACAAAGAAGTAAAAGAAACAGCTAGAAGGGGGGGGGGGGGGGGGGGGTATTATGCTATGCAAACAGAAACGAAACGCCAGAAGCATTATTAATGACATTAGGAGCGAGGCCACCAAGAACCTTGAAGGGGACAGGGAGGGATGGGATAGTCAGTTCTCGTAACTGGATAGCTACTTGCTGTAAGAATCAAAGCCGATGGATGTCTCCCGCTCATAGGGTTAAAAGATGAGGATATATCATGAAGAAAGAGGCCGAGTGGCAACCAGAGCGTTTACAACATGGCCCGGTTTCCAACCCTGGTCAACGAGCGGCGTCTGCTCTTTGAGAATCTTGCCTAGATAGGCGATTCTCACACGGTGCATCCTAGAAATCTATACCACATATCACACGTGTCAGTTACACATACTACTGGCTTCGCCAATGGGGAAGGAACGAAGAAATGAAGTAGAGAGAGGAATGGAACATACCCCCGCCTCCTGTTGCACCTTCCTCGCAATAAACCCAACATTCTGGGACTTGGCAACCGATATAACAATATCCGGTCCACCGCGATCACTCAGACGTGCCTTAACAAGGATCAAATCCCGCTCGCTAGTTTTCCCCTTCTCATCTCGGCGGCGCTCACGCTCAACATCATCCGCGATCAACTCATCTCCTGATGCCTCATTGAGCGAGAGTTTCCCATCGTCCGTTTCAAAGCCCACATCCACGTCGTCATCGTCGTCATGATCGTCCGTCATTGTCAGTCTCAATGACCGCGCAATGTTCTCGGGGTCGCTCACGATACACTGCGGTAAACGATAGAGCGCACCCTGTTCATCGTAACAGCCCTGGCATAGATCACCTGTGGGAACAGTAATCCCCGCAGCGTCGATAATACTCTGAGCAGTTACCAGGTCTCCTACGCGCATAAAAGAGAGGGCGACTGAAAGAGCGGTCCAGACTTCGGGACGACCTGTTACCCGGGTCTCGAAGAACTCCTTGCGTTCCTGGTCAAGCAGAGCGCGGGTCCATCTCCGTCGCTTACTGCGCCAGATGTGGCAACGGATGGGGGCGTTGAAGTGTTCCCCGAGAGGGAGATTGTGGGTGGCGGCGGAAGGCTGGACGAGGTGCGACGAGGCAGCGACTGGGCCGGCGGGAGCGATGGTGGATGCTACTGGATGATGATGATTATGCGATGATGGGTGGTGAGCGGGTGGTGCGGCCGTCGCTGGGTCAGTCTCTTCTTGGGTCGCATATTGGCTATTACGCGACGAGGACAAGCAACAACCCTTGTCAGGACATATTAGATTGATTGATTATGGGAATCCAGATACACAGCAAGTAGATTGGTAGGAAGAGCGGAGGTGGAAATGAGAGGCATGCAGGCAAGAAGAAACCTTGGAAATGGCGGGGATAATGAAGCTTACCATGTTTAATGAAGAGAATCAACTCCATCAGTCACAGCCTGGAGACATACCACCAACAGGAGGATGTGATGAGTTGAAGAAGAGAAGAAGAGAAGAGGAGGAGAAGAAGGGGAAGAGAGATGAATGAAGGAAATGAATGAAGGAGGGGAGAGAGAGGGAGAGAGAGAGGGGAAAGACAGAATTGATTGCAGGAGAAAAAAAGCCGCGTGTCGAGTGAGGATGGAATGACGCCGCAGTGAAGGAATCAGTGGCAAGCTTTATTATATTTCTCTCTCTCTCTCTCTCTTCATGTATCATAACCTAGCAGGGTGAAAGAAAAAGAGGAGATCCAGATCGCGTGCTTTATTATAATTCCTGGGAAGAGCAACTGATTACCCTCATTTCCAATTCTTACAGGAAACTCCCATGGTTCATAAAGCTTGACTTTGGTGTCTCTCCACCTTTTTTTCTGACCAGTCTTTGCTCACCGTCTTATACAAGTCATAACTTACCTACAGCACTACAGCGCATCAACTCGAAATCCCCTGTATGGGGACAGTCAGAGCGCTTATGCTCTCGAGAAACGAGGCTGACCTACACCGCGGAACTCCTCTATCTATGCGGGGTTGTTCTCTATCTTACCAATCTATTGTTCCTTGGGGGGAAACAATAATGCCTCGTAGGATTGCTTTTATACGCTATTACGAAGCATTCGGATTATTTATTCCTCCTCGTCCTCCTGCTCTTCATCGTCGCTCCCAAAAATCGCCTTAAATACCGCTTCGCCCGGTCGCTCCCCCTCAAGTGCTTCGTTGCGCTCAGGCTCAGTCGCCACTGGTTCTCGCTTCTCTACCTGCACTGGGGACCCTGCACTAATCGTAGTAGTGGGATTAGTGTCTCTGCGGGATGATGATAGCGATGGTGAAGCTAGCGGGCCGTCCCCACGGGCCTCGAGGAGAAGCTGATTCATGACATCTTGTGACACCAGCTCCCGGGGACGCATATTGCTCTGGTATCCTGCAGACTGGAAGCGCCCCCCCGATGAGGATGATGAGGATGAAAATGGAGCGTTTGACCCCCCACCCAAGGGCTCACCCGGGTCAAGCTGCACATGGCTCGGGGGTTTGATGTTGAACCGTTTACACAGTAAACGGGTGGGGTAAAACGAGATCGTAGTGCGTGTCATCGGACCGAACATGCCGATTTTGGCAGCGGCCACGGCAGGGTCCTCAGGTTTGTCAGTAGATTTACTGAGGAGTGCATCCGAGGGTGACCCGGTCTCGTCTGAAGAACCCTTGGGGCCCGAGGAGGCGGATGTAAAGCGTGATGCCATTACCCCGGATACAGGCTTGAAAACCTCTGCTGCACGTGTAAACTCATGGAGCTCCGTGATCCATTCGTCAGTGCTGGTCCCGGGGACCCGCTCGGGTAGGCTGTCACGAAGGCCAGCGCGGATTTCGAGAAATGTTCGGTAGCGCGCTCGTTTAGTTTCGTCGTCCGAGTACGGCATCCATCCGCTAGCTGCCCGTGTAAGCGCTTGCACGGCCAGCTGCTTGTCCAGTTTCGGGACAATATTCCACAGCTCCTTGCGCTTCTCTGACTCGGAGAGTTTGTAGCCTTCGGGGGCTTTCTCGTTTAATGCAGGCGGTAGGTCTGTTCTTCCAGTAAGCCTGGCAATCTTCTCCCGACCTTCAGGAGTCATATAGTCGAAAATGGACTTTGCAGGCAATTGATCTTCTCCAAGGAGTGCAGCCCTAGATATAGGGTTCAGGGTCGAGGCTCGAGCTGCCTCAGCGGGAGAAACGTAGTTCGATGCGTCTCTCTCCTTTGAAGGCGTCTTTTTCGACTTCCAGTCTTTGGGGATCTCGGGAGGTGCGTATTTCTTCTCTGAAAAAAGTGAAAGACCTAAGGTCCCATCGGTCAGGAGGAACCCGTCCAAAGGTAAACGTCCGTCATGACATTTGCGAAATCCTGCGGCAGTCTTGGCTGCAATAGTCTTCTTGGGGATGAAAACCGGTTTGTTGCTCAGAAGCGGATTAGATGCGCCTAGTATAGCCTTCAGATCATCTGCCGGGTTTCCCTTTTTCTTTTTCTTATCCCCTCCAATAACCCGGTTGTAGGAGATCTGAGGACCCAGTGAGTACGGGTCTTCATCATCCGATCCGGTGTCATTTAAGACTCCAACCCCGAAAGCCCCTGACCGGGGCCCTTGCGCTTTCGCCTTCGGTTTGCGTTGAGCTATCAGCCGCTGCCCAAAAAACGGATCTGGTTCTTCTTCTTCTTCAGACTCGGGTCCATCTTTTCGAGTCCCAAGACGGGCCTCCGCTTCGAATCCAAGTCCTTTGTAGTCAGTCTTGTGTATAAAAGCAACCATCGGGGGATTCTCCGGCGCAAACAAATACGTCTTGCCCGCTGCCTCGCCAGTATGAATAGCTCCATCTCCGAGATCTGCTTTCCTCCTCACTTTCGGGCCAATCCCCTGGCCTTCCCTCCACCCCATTTTCTTCATTAGCTTAACACCAATTGTTTCCCCCGTCGTTTTAAAGATATCCATCAGCCCCCCTCTCCGAACCGAATCCGTAGCCGTCGACCCAAACCCAGAAAACCCATCGGTGGTACGTAAATTGCGCGCTTCTTCCGCCTCCCGAATATCCTCCTCGTCCATGAAATCCTCCGGTCGCTGCTGTGGCTTATCCTTGGCCCTGTTCTGGCGCGAGGACACAAAGGTTGCGGGGGTCCATCCTTCCTTCGAGCCGACGGTGTTGAAATACCTGGAGAAGAAGAAAAACAACAACAACAACGAAGGACCACATTTAGTGCGCTGTCCCAAAAGTTCGATGAATCGTGAGCTCACCCGGCACTAAATCCACCGGTAAAGGCGCCATGCAAACGTTTCCTTCCTCGGTCATCCGTCACCTCCTGCTTCCAGATCGGTACGTAGGATCCATCGTCCCTAGCGGCGGCGTCTAGCGGAGGGAGAGGAGTACCAAAAAACGCGTATGGGGATTGTTGGGCCTGGAAATCGGCTTCGAATGCGGCGCGGGTCCGTTTGCTACTCATGCTTATCATGCAAGCTGGAACAGGACAATGGACATCACGATCTGTAAATGGGTCTTGTCAGGTCGAGAGAAATTCGGTAGGGGACGTACAGTAGGTAGTTGGCATGTAACTACTGTACTGTATTGTGTACGTATGTAAGCGTACCTGGGAGAGCGGTGGATGGAGTCAGGAATGCTCTAGTTAACAAGGTCTAGGCCAGTACTGAGTGGGGACGAAGAAGCTGCAAGGAGAGTACTCTGTAGACATAAGATAGTTACATTCAAATGGGTGAGGATGTTTCAAACAGATGCGGATATGTGACGACTAGAAATGAGGGAGGGTGTTGCACCGCCACAGTGGCTGGAACATTCCCCAAACTATAACTACATACAGAGTACTACAAATTTTGGTAGATAGTTGGAAGTACACCCATAGTGCAAGAAAAACCTACCAGGATCAAGAGATTCTACGTTACACAACCTAGGCAGACATATAGGGAGAACAAAAAAAGAGAAAAGAAACCAGAAAAACCAAAACTGCTGGCTGGTATCCTCTTTGTTTCCCTGGTAAACGACTCCAGAGACACATATATATCTCTTGAATGTGAACCTAATTTGCCCAGGCTCGCCGGAAGAAGTGTCTACCAATGCCATCAGATAATAGAGATAGTTTTAATAAAGGTTCTTACTTCTTCCTCTCTGCTTCCTACTGTCTCCATTACTCTCTGCTATATTGGTTCTTCCATTCTAAAGCTTTTTAAACTATAACATATTTATTACTAGATGAGAGCTGGATTATAGTAAATTGCATGATCATCCTACCATGATGGAAATATTTTTATACCTAATAATGGACTTATGGACATCACCATTCACACGATCCTAGATAAATAGGCTGAAGTATCGAGTAGCATTTTATGCGGCGCTTGACCAGGCCAGTTGGAAACCATTTTCGGTGTTGTTTCGGTGGTGAGTTGAAACAGACTGGAGTTAAGGTGCGAAGCTTACTGCTAAGAATTATAGGTGGAAACACAGCCATTTATGGCCTTAGTACCTACATATAGAGTAGTGGTTATTTTCAGCATTAATTTCACAAGTCCTTAAGGTCCTATAGAAGAGAGACTCTCTCCAGACATGTGATATTTATCTTACTGGATAACTAGTAGTCTTTATAGCAGTACATCATTAAATAAGATAATTATACTCTTAAAATAAAATATAACAATCTACTCTGTAATATCATTATCATATAAAGTGAAATAAGCTAGTTACAGCCCCTAGCTTGTTCTGGCTTCCCTGGCTTCATGTGTTTCTCCGCAGCCGCATCCATCGATTGACCCCAGTCAACTCAGCTCTCCTCTTTCTTTACCTTCTCTTTCACACAACATTCCTTTCTCTCTCTCTCTCTCTCTCTCTTTCCCCCCTCCCCCCCCCTTTCCCTTCCCCTCCCCTTTCTCCATCCTAATCTTTATTTCTTTCATCTCTTCTCGTCTCCTTTTTGTACATGGGGTTGTTGTGACTTGTTTGTTTGATGTGGACGCTCATTATCACTTTCCTTTCGGGCTCTCGTCAGCAAACTCCCTCTCTCTCTGCTCCCCCCCACCCGCTCTCCTCCCGACCGGCCACTTCAACGGCTTCGTCCATTTGGGCTTCGTCCACCTACCCCCCTCCCCAAAACTACGATTTCGCGTCAATCCTATCATAGACGACGTTTTCTCTCGGGTGTTTCAGGTTTGCATTGTTGGGCTCTCACTCTTCCTTTTAATTCCCTTGCCCATACGTGATGTCCACCACTGCTCCCTCGTCTGCCATCGCTCGCAGCCACTCAACCTCGTCCCGCCCACCGTCTTATGGGACTGCTACCTCCGACATCCCTCATCGGACTCGAAGTGTCGCTACTAGGCCCGCGACTGCATCCCAGTCATCCACGCAATCCCAAAGCAACTCCTCCAGTCGTCATTCCTATTCTAAATCCCAGTCCTATGACCGCCGACCCCCTACTAACCACGCGGTTTTCGACAACATAGCCCGTCGGGACTTTGAGTCCTCCCGAAGTGCCCAACCGGTCTCCTCTCGTAGGGATTCCTCGAGGGAACGTTCCCAGGAGCGCCCATCGACTGCCCACCGGGCCGAATCTTCATCACATAAACACCAAAGAAATCTCTCGGTCAAAAGCCATCAACGGGACAGCATAGATATGGCTTCCGCAGGGCCCGTCGTGCCAGATGGGGGTGCAGGTCACCACCAGACTGCTTCAGGGAATCACCTCCACCCAGCAAACTCCGTTCAGTCTAAACGTCGCACAATGATCACTACCCCGACCGGTCAGTGGGCGCTAGGAAAAACTTTAGGCGCGGGAAGTATGGGTAAGGTGAAAGTGGGAAAGAACATGGAAAGCGGGGAACAGGTGAGCTTTTGTTTTTCTCTCTTTCTTTCTTCCTCCCCCCCCCCCCCCCCCCCCCCCCTTTTTTTTTTTTTTCTTGTCAGATCCAATTTCGCATTACATTTGTTTTTAGTCGGTCCTAATCGCCATGGTAGGTGGCTGTCAAGATTGTGCCTAGGCAGTCGACCGAGGAACATCGAAACGCACGCGAAGCCGAACGGGCAGATCGCTCAAAGGAGATTCGAACTGCCCGTGAAGCCGCAATTGTCAGTCTCGTGAACCACCCCTATATCTGTGGCATGCGTGATGTGGTGCGGACCAATTATCACTGGTACATGCTTTTTGAACTTGTCAACGGTGGTCAGATGCTTGACTACATCATCTCCCATGGCAAGCTGAAAGAAAAGCAGGCGAGGAAATTTGCCCGCCAGATCGTCAGTGCGCTCGATTACTGCCATCGCAATAGCATTGTGCATCGTGACTTGAAAATCGAAAATATCCTAATCAGCAAGACTGGCGATATCAAGATTATTGATTTTGGTCTCAGCAATCTTTTCTCTCCTAAAAGCCTTCTCAAGACATTCTGTGGTAGTTTGTACTTTGCCGCTCCGGAACTGTTAAAGGCAAGAGAATACACTGGCCCAGAGGTGGACGTCTGGAGTTTCGGTATCGTCCTCTACGTTCTGGTTTGCGGAAAAGTTCCTTTCGATGACCAGAGCATGCCAAAGCTCCATGCAAAGATCAAGCAGGGCGTGTTTGAGTATCCTCCTGGGCTCTCAACAGGTTAGAACCCTTCTCCCCAAAACATGGAAATACCGGAAATCATGTTAACAGTCCTTTTTCTCGCTAGAATGCCGCCATATTATCTCACGCATGCTGGTGACAGACCCCAAGCAGCGCGCCAGTTTGGCCGAAATAATGAACCACCCGTGGATGAACAAAGGATTCAGCGGCCCCCCCGACAACCACCTGCCCACCCGTGAGCCGTTACAACTTCCATTGGATCCCAACGTTGTCGAGAAGATGACAGGCTTTGATTTTGGTCCATCGGATTACATTACCGCACAGCTCACTAAGATCATAGAATCGGAAGAGTACCAACATGCTGTGGCAGTCAATTCCCGGGAACTACCACACCCAACCCATTCTGACAAGAAGCGCGGTGTGTTTGACTTCTATAAAAGACGAAACTCAGCTAGCAGAGACACTCTTTCGGCACCTTCGGCCGAAGCTGTTCAACTGGGGAATGATCCCTTGAACGCGTACAGCCCCCTCCTCTCTGTATATTATCTTGTGAAAGAGAAACTAGACAGAGAGCGAGGAGAGTCCAACCCAGGAGCTCTTGCCATTCCCCACGCTCCTAGCGACGCCATGCTCCAAGTGCCCGATCTCCCGGCCCCAGAAGCTGCCCATACCAATCAGTATCACGTCCCTGGAGAGAAAGACACATCAAGAAGATCTCGTCCCCGGGCAAGAACACATGGTGATGACGATATCACGCAAGGCATGAAAAATATCAACCTCATGCCTCAGCACGGACAAGCATCTCTTAGCCCTGCTGCTTCCCAACCAGAAACCCCTGCCAAGAAGGAAAGCGCGGCTGCAGGTCTTTTGAGACGCTTTAGCACACGGAGAACTAAAGACCGTAGCCGTGATCGTGAACGGGGGAGACTTACAAGCCCCCATGCACCATCTCTCAACATACAACCGCCTGCAGATTCTGCGTCTCCACTGTCTAGAGGATTCAGCATGCGGAGAAGCCGTCGCGCAGAGCCATCGCCAACTACTATTCCCTCGGCAGGCAGTCAGCCCCAGCATCAAGACCTCCTTAAAGCACCTGGATCGTCGGAGCCGGCCTCACGATCCAACAAGTTCCTGGAGAGGTCAACCAGTGTCAACTCAGCTGACTATCGCCCACGACGAGCTCGCCGGAACGACCCCGATGCGGCCAGTCAACCACCGCAGACCAGTGGCTCAGAATACTCGGCTGTACAAAAGGAAGTAGTAACACCTGGACAGGAACCGAAGGTGTTGACCCGCACACACGCCACCCGAACCATGTCTCTTGGCCATGCACGGCGTGAGAGCATACAGGCACGCAGGGCCCGACGCGATGCTGCGAGGGAGGCAAATGTTCCCGAAGAGACTGATGGTGAGGTGTCTGGAGCAGGCGCTGCCTTGGAAAGTGCCAATGAAGAAGATTTATCCAAGCCAGTTTATCTGAAGGGTCTTTTTAGTGTCTCAACTACCAGCAGCAAGCCGCTTCCATTTATCCGGGCAGATATAATTCGCGTCTTGAAACAGCTTGCTGTAGAATATGTGGAAATCAAGGGAGGGTTCAGTTGTCGCCATGCACCCAGTATTGACCTTGAGAAGGTGGTTGATATTCAACCTCCGAGCCCCGAGCGACAAGGCCAGGTCGCTGGTCACCGTCGCCGTATCAGCTTTGGAGGTCTGCTAAATCACGATGACCCCCGAGAGGAGGTTCGCAACACGCCTCGTCGTCGCAACCGCGCACCGGATCGCAGCTTTGTTACTAACTCGGAGGGGTCGGATGAATATCTTGGCAGTCGTGAAAACAACGTATCCGTTGGGGATCGAGTCATGGGGGAGACAACAACCCGGGTTCAAAGTGATACTGGTGAGAACCTTATCCTCCAATTTGAAATTCTTATTGTCAAAGTTCCTCTGTTCTCTCTTCATGGTATTCAGTTTAAAAAAGTGTCTGGAGGCATGTGGCAGTACCGGGAGATGGCAAAGAAGATTTTGGATGCTCTAAGACTCTAATTGCACCTCCCCCCCTTCAAAAAAAAGGCCTTTGTAACCTATGACCTTATACATGAATCATGTCTATCAGTGAAGTTATCTACTGTCTAGCACAGTCTGATCCATGAAGCATCTATACAAGCATGACTTTTTTTTTTTTCTTTATTATTTTCTTATCTCCTTTCTTTTTCTTTTTCTTTTTCCCCCTATAGTTCTCTTTGTGCCTGCATGATAATTAACAGCTTTCGGACTACATCTTCATTGAGCTGGCTCATTTTGCAAGATACTGGTTTTAACATGGTGTATGTTAGAACCTCACACTAATTTCAATCAGGTCTTCCCCTTCATGTGATTATTAGCCCCTTTTGATTTTGTATATCTTGATTTGAATGTGTTCTTCGCCCTCTGATAATGTAATTCCTTCCTGCCTAACCTGTGTGGTTCGCTCTGCTTCGTGTGTAGCAACAATTAGAGATTATCCCCTTGACTTCCATGTATGTACATTGGCCTGGTTTTAGTCGAGCTCCATTAATAGAAAGAGGGCAGAGATAAATTTATCAATAATAGAACAGTCTACAGAAGTATCTGACTAGGTATACTACCTAATTACCCAGTATATATTATGTAGTGTGGCGGGGTCGTCTAGTTTCAGGGTAGTCAGGGCATAATAATATTCTACTGATTCAACACTAGACTGGCACAACCCGCCCAAAGAACCCGACCCTAACCCGACCCGACCCAGGGTTGGGCGGGTGTAAGCGTCTCGCTGGCGAGGCGCTTGGGTATTGGTAGTGTTGGGAAAGGAAGCAAAGCTACATAGAGTTGTAAGAGCATGCGATTCGGGCAATATGTCTAAACCATTGGACCAAAAGGTCACTATGATCAGACCTGATATCTGATCTACCCGAATCCCACCTTATATACCTAGTAATCAATTGCCTTGGCACCAGTGCACCTAGTGCATGCCATGACAACTATCTCCCTTCTTGAGATAAGGCTTGACCGCAAGCCAACTAGCATATATTTAGTAGGGACCCCCAGCCCTAAGCTAAGCTAGGCTAAGCTAAGGACTGTGAGCAGGTATCCATGCCTTTCTGCCCACCTAAACCACTACCTGCTTTAGGTGCGCCACATATTCTTCACAATCACACATTCTTTGCGATTTTTTTAATATTTAAAGCTATATAATAATAATAATATTAGTAATTAAAATAAAAAAACTCTCTAGCTTTTTTAATATATTTTATATTATTAATTCCTCTTTAAATTAATTTTTATAAGTATAGAAAGAGTAAAGAACTATATATTTTCTTTTTTTATTTTACTAACCTTCTCTATTTATATTTAGTATCTTTTATCTTCCTATCTTTAATTAATTAAATAGTATTATAAACTCTTAGAACCCTATTATTAAATAGATTTTTAATCTAGTACTTAGTATAAATCTAGTATTAAGACTCTTATATAGCCCTAATCTTTTAAATTACTTCTTAAGTTATTTTTAGCTCCTCAAGCTTCTCTACCTAATATTAAAAGAATTTTAATATATTCTACCTTATCTAGTTAGATATCTTATCAAGTTCCTTTATAATCTTTACTTAATTCTTTAGAAGAGCCTTTATTATTACTAGAAGATTATTTTTAATACTAGAGGATAATAATAGTAGTAAAAATAAGATTTAATAAAGATTAATTAATATATCTAGTATATTTATCTAATTTACTAGTTTTTTAATAATTTTAATATTATTAATTAATTAAATATTATATTCTTTAAAAGTATCTTAAATAATTTATTATTAAAAGATCTAATTATAGATTAGCTAAATAATCTTTAAGAACTCTACCTTCTTATATAACTTACTCCCTTATTAAGATAGCTTATTATTCTTAAGGTAAAAATTAGTCTTATAAGTAAGAAAAGGTTTTCTATTAAGAGATTAGTGTCACGGCGACCATGTGACATGCAACCACATGCCGAACCACATGCCGAACCACATGCCCAGTAACTAAGGGTAATTAGGAGAATAGCAATATTTGAGTTGCCTATACTATACTAGTAACTTAACTAAATAATATAAATAATAATATAATAATTCCTAAAGTATTAAGAGATAAGTACTTTATTTTATTACTTTTAATACTTTCTTATTATTCTTATACTCTATATAGCTTTACTTTCTTTATTAATACTACTTATATTTAAGTACCTTACTAATAAGATACTTATAATTTAAAGTACTTTCTTAATTAAGTAAAGTAATATAATAAATATAAAAAGGACTATCTATTCCTTTTTTTAAAAAGTAATAAATCTAAATTTTATAAAATCTATAACTATAATACTAGAAATTATTATTAAGAAAGATTTAATAATACTAGTAATTCTCTAGTACTAATTTATTAAGTTAATAAAAAATAATAAGTTATAATATATAATTTAATATATAATATAAATTATATAAATAAGTAGAAAAAAAATATTTAAATCTAAATTTTTTAAAATATAAAATTTAAAAAAACTTAATATCTTTCTAAAAGATTTTTAAAATTACTTTAGATTATAAAGAAAACTTTATAAGAATAATATAATTAAGATTTATTATATTATAGATTATCTAAAAAATAATATAAAATAAATATAATATTTTAAATATAAAGTAAATTTTAAAAAACTTACTTATATAAAATTTATTAAGTTCCTATAGAATTTTTTAAAATTAAAAAGAAATTATAAGTAGATAATAGCTTACTAACTCCTATATATAAGATAAGGATTATAATAAAGTATATAAATTTTAATAACCTAGATAAAGAAATTTATTCTAATAATTAAAGCTAATTTTAAAGAATTCTTCTACTAGCTAGCTATTTAAATAGCCTATTCTAAATTATACAAGGAAATCTAGCAGGATATAATAATATTATAAAGTCTAATTAAAGTTATTAAACTAGAGATAAGATATAAAAAACTTTAGAAATAAGAAAAATAAAAAAGGCTAAATAAAATATAATTAAACTAATCTCTAGAGTCTTATATATTAAAGAATAATTTAAAGAAAAGAAAAAAAAATAATAATAAAGTAATAAATCTCTAATTAAATAAATTCTAATAAAAAGAGTTAAAGAAGGAGTAATAAAATTATTAAAATTAATAAAAAGAAGGCTAATATTACTAGTATAATTAAACTAATTATATTATAAGGAAATACCCCTAGTATAAAAAAAGTATTAAGGGGGTAGGAAAATTAGAAAACTAGAATTAATAATAATTAAATATTCTAGAATCTCTAGTACTTTAATAAGATAAAAAGATACTAGTAAAATCTTTTTTAATTACTATAGCTATTCTAGTAGGTAAGAAATAGATTATAATAAGGGCACTTATAAATACTAGAGTAAATAAGGACTTTATTTTTTATTATTTCTTAATTAAAGAAGAAATAAATCTTAATAAAATAAAGATAGAATAATCTATATATTTTATTAATAATTTAATAATATTATACTATATAAGATTTTAAGTAAAAAATTAAATTATAAATAATTTTAATAAAATTAGAGAATTTAATATAAAATATTATATAATAAATTTAAAAGAAAAAGAATATTAACTAATCTTAAAATATAACTAGCTAAATCTAGTTAATTTTAATATCTTCTTAGTAGTAAATACCTAGTACTACTAAAAAAAAAAGTTAAAGATTAAAATTAAATTACCTAAGTAATTTAAAAGTATAATAAGGTAAGGACTTACTATACTAGTCTTAAACTAATTATATAATAATAGTAATATAATAAGGGCTCTCCCTAAATATTATAAAGAATAAAAATTAGTATTCTTAAAAAAAGAGATAAAAATACTCTTCTTTAAAAAAGCTAGTTATAATATATTATTAATTACTAATATAATATTATTAATAGGCTAGCTATATAATATATTAAGAATAAAGTTAGTAATTTTAAAGGAATATATTAATTAAATATTAGAAAAAGAATAGATCTAGCCCTTAATAAATATAGCAGGCATGCTAGTACTTTTTATATAAAAAGCTAATAAATTACTATAATTTTATATAGATTATAGGGGCCTAAATATAATTATTATTAAGAATTAATATTCTCTCTTATAAATTAATAAACTAATAAATTAATTAATTAAAGTTAAATAATTTACTAAACTAAATTTATAAGATATTTATTACTAGATTTATATTTATTAAAATAATAAGTAAAAAATAATATTTTATATAAGATATAGATACTATAAATATCTAGTTATATTTTTTAGATTATATAATATCCTAGCTATCTTTTAAATATATATTAATAAAATAATAAAGGAGATCCTAGATAAATTTTATATAATATATTTAAATAATATCCTAATTTATTTATAAATAAAGGAAGAGTATAAGTATTATATTAATAAAGTATTATTATATTTTTAGAAATATAATCTCTATATAAAATTTTTAAAGTATAGCTTTTACTAGGAAGAAGTATATTTTCTTAACTTTATTATAAGAATTAAAGAAATTTAAATAAATTTTAAATAAATATATATTATAAATAACTAGTTAGAACTATATTTATTTTATAATATTTAAATATTTCTAGGATTTATAGAATATTTTTAAAAATTTATTTACTAGTATTTTAAGATTACTACCTTACTAAGTAATATATTAAAAAGAATAATAAAGGGGAAAAAAAGTAGCTCCTTTAAAATAATAGAGAATAATTAAAATACTTTTAAGATATTAAAGTAGGTATTCTCTAGATTTCTAGTATTATAATATTTTAACCTAAAATAAGAAATATTTCTAGTAATTAATATATTAAGTTTTATAATTATAGGAATCTTAATATAATATAATAATACTTAATTTATAAAAATATAATATATTATTTAGTAATTTATAGTCTTTTACTTAAAAAAATTAATTAAGATAGAGAAAAAATATAAAATCTATAATTAAGAATTACTAGTTATAATAAAATATTTTAAAATATAATAT